AGGGAACGTGTGCTCAGGAGCATGGTCCTCGGCTCGCCACCGGCAGCAGGCGAGAAACTCTACACGCAGGAGGCTGGCGCAGCCGACCACGCGGAGGCCGAGCGCTCGAGAGACGTGCGGCCACACGTGTATCCAGCTCTCGCCCCGGCCAGCCACACCAAGTGCACGAAGCTTGCGGGTAGTCAAACAGCCCTCCCTGCGTAGGGACCAGAGCATGCTCCGCCACTCGGCCAGGGCAGAGGCGAGGCTGCGCCTCTCGAGGGGCACCACATCCCCGTGCTCGAACCGCCTCGCGGGGCCAGCAGCTCACGCGGTGAGGCTGCGCGCGCGCCCTCCCTGGCAGCACTGCGCCCACCAGACCCACCGGTGCTGGGCAGCCGCGGAGAGCAGGGCCTCTTCAGCGGCTGCACTTGGGCGACGACAAGAAACGGGTGTCCTACGCGAGATGACGTGGCGACCTTACGCGGAGGCCTACGCGGGCCGCTGGCGCGGCACGCTACAGTGGAGACGAGGGTGCTTACGCGCGACCTTACGCGGGCAACGCACGCCGGAATGTCGGCGCAACCGACCCCGTTGTTCTGCGTCGCTCACTCGGATGCGGTGGAAGGTGGCACGGAGACGCCGATCCCTGAAGAACGCTGCACGATGCGTGGGAGGGAACCTTCCAGTTCTCCCTGGCCCAAGGGGTCGAGCTCGCAACCAATAGAATGACACGGCACCGCATGCCCTGGACGTCCTCGCGAGCAGGACGTTGGCTAGCGCAAGAAGCGTCAGCTTGAACGCCTTGTGCAGGCCATCGTGCTCGCGCCGCGCGATGGCGGCAAGCAGCTCGAACACATTCGCCTCATACCAGATTCAAGCGTCAAGAACCACAGCCACTCTCATGGCGGAGTGCAGGCGGCACGGCAAGATGGAGCCTCCGCCGTTTTTTGAGTGCGGCGGATTCCCACTGGTAGTTCTGCGACGAGACAGGGCCCCCCATGCGGCCCAGGTACTGCGTGACCCCCTGGATGTCCAAAGGGGACGCACCTCGCCGGAGACGTCGGCCCACATGGGGGCGATGGCCCGAGCGCGCTGCTGCAAGCGGGCGACCCCTTGCACCTCCTGGACCGCCCGCGCTAGATTCGGAAGGGGCTCGAGAAGGCGGAGCAGCAGGCCGATGTCGCCAGCACGCACGCGTGGCAAGCCATCCTCGGATAACCTCTGCCCGCGCGCTGCTGGACTTACAGGGGGCAGCCCTGCACGACCCTCCACAACATCTCTGAGAGGGGCTGGAGGTTTGAGATGCCAGGCTGACCGAGCGCCGCAACCATGGTGGTGATCGCACGACCCTAGCGCCCGCTCTCGGGAGTTACTCGAAAACGTCGACGCGAAGTCGGCAGCAGCGAACACCGGTCGATCACGCGCCGCCGTCGTTGAGACTCTCAGTCGGCGGCTTCGCATCTGTCCAGCAACGGGAATCTACTCGTGGACCAGCTGGCGATCGGTGACGACACCACACCGCACCTCGCTTGCGCAGAGCACCACCGCCAAATTCCGCGCATCGCCGATGCGAGTCACGATGACCTTCGCCTCGAAATTCTTCCTCCACCAGCGCGCCGTGCGCCTCGGTTTAGGTCTGGCATGTCCCCCTACAGAAGGATTTTGAACGAAAAATGATACAGAGCCAACACATGCACCAACATAGCTCAAAAATGCGCATCGTCCCCAGACTATTGTTTGACTATTTTTGAATATTCCTCCTGCATCGGGATCATTGACGAAATTCAAAAAACCACAGTCCAGACAGATACTCCAACATCGTCAAGCCAAAAAGAAAAAAAACGTCCACTGACTATTTCTCATCGAATTCTAAGAGTATTCCGCCTGTAGGAGGACACGCCCGACTGAAAAGCCTCGGTGGGCCCCGCACGGGCCTCGACGGCGCCCTCTCGGGGGTGCCACAAAACCACGCTCGCAGGCCTTTGCCCTCCACCCAGTGTCCGCCTGCCTCGGGCAGCCGATCACGCCCTGTGGTGGCGCGCTCGCTGAAAAAGGCGCGCCGCGCGTCTAGGCGCTGAGATAGAGGGGAAGGCTGAGATGTGATAGCTGTGGCACGGAACGCTACGAATCTTGACTCGCCAACTCCGTCCCGTCGGTCTTTACTCATACGATCGGTTGCAAATGCTCGGCACTACCCTGCAACATTTCCGTCTGCCGCGCTGCCCTTGCCGACGATGTGCCTCGCGCCGCTGCCGTGCATTGCCGTGTGTGCCATTCTGCAACAAGTAGCGTGGGCGCTGTCCCTGCCAGCCAAAACTTGAAGACAAGCATGGATGCGCGAGGGTGCGATTGCAATAGCTGGTGGGTTCGATGGCCATATGGCGCCCCGTTGGTGCGTCAGCGGCGGACTCGGTGACACTGTCACACGGGCTGCTAAGTCAACTGCCTCTGCCGCGCTAGACTCGACCGTGCGGAGAAATGGTCGATGTCTTCGGTCGCGTGATGCTCTTCCCGGAACTGGGACAGCGCGCACGTCTTAGGAAACAACTACTGGGAGGTCTTCGTCGGAAAGATTAAAGAGGATACAGCCCCGGTTGGGGGCCTGCTACGCTGGATTAGGCTGCGGATTAAATGGGGTGAAGCCAGATGAAACGGGATTGAGCCAGATTCAGCGGTGAAAGGCCAGATGAAGTCGGATTTCGGACCAGGGCAAAGTCAGAATCTGACCTCCCAGGAGTTGCATCCGAGCGTGTCTTCGAGCGAGAGCCCGACGCTGCAAGCCACACGTCACAGCTGCCTGTGACCAGCGCTGCAGCTCGTCCAGAAGCGGGCATCTGCAGCTCGAGCGAGGCCTCGCACCAGGATCGCGGGGCCTCCCACCCTGCGGGTGCGCGCATCCGCCCACTGCGCATGCGAAGGCTCAGGCCAGTCCAGGTCAGTCGGCCCAGCCTGCCAGACACGTTTGTCGGAAGAAGTGGGTAGAAGCATGAAGTATAAAGACGTTGGGAGCAGATTGGGTTTCAGCCCGCCCCCTGAAGAGGAGGGAAGAGGGCGAACCGCGCGACTTTTGAGGTACGAAGGCTCCCAGAGCAGACTGGGATCTGGGTATCCAGAACTACATACCTGCTTACAACAACCGACGCGTATATAAGGGGAAATCCAACTCAGCTGCTCCAACGCCGCGATCGACGGCCAATCCAGCTCGGTCATCCCAGCCTAGGTCGCGGAGGACCATCCATCCATCATCCATCCATCCATCCAGCCCAGCCAATTCGCGGAAGCAAATCTGGCTGAGCCGGCCCAGACTGCTTGTGAGGACCAGTTCAGCGCAGTCGGCCTGCAGCAGCTCCGGAGAGCCAGGGCGAGCACTCCTCCTGTACGATCGCCACCGCCAGCCCCATGCTCAAGGAGTGGGCGCTTCGCCTGTCTCCTGCGCGTGCAGTTTCGTGGCGTCCCGCATTCCAGCGGGCCAGCTGGCAACCGCGGCGCGCTCCTTGCGCCGTGATCGCCCACGGCGCCCAAGGTCGGGTGGAAACTCCACCGCGCCCGCGTTGAGGCTCTGGCGGGTCTCCGCAAACCCGTCCTGGCAGCCCGCCGCGCGACGGGGAGAACGCCTGCAAACGCGAGAGATACTTCGCGCAACGCACGTCAGCGCAAGGCAGGACGAACCTCCCCACTCAACCCAACCAATTTTTCGGACTGGATCTCCAAGCGCTTAATGCCCGGGTCCTGGCGGGAATCAGCATGCACGTGCGACCGTGTCGGGTTCGGACGGCGATATATCTTCCACAAACCTCTCCGCTCGCGCAACTCGCGCGCTGAGCGATGGAAAGCGCCGGGCACCTGCAGCGCGAAGTGACGCGCAGGGACGGTGCCGCGATGGGCGATCCACGCAAGCTCGATCTGGGCTGTCCGTGTTTGCTTGCAATGGCTAAAAACAATAAGGGCAACTCCGCGAAGCTGCTTGGCTCCCCCTGCCCAGAGATGAGAGTCTGTTCTGAGTCCACGAGGTCCAGCAGCCTCTGCGCATCAGCCACTGCGAGCGACTGGCGCATCAGCTCCACGATCATTGTCGTGCGCCACCTCGCTGGCAACCACTCTTGTGCGCACCTGTTGAAGGTCTCGGATGCGTGTGCCGACTGGCACTTGCTCCTTCTTGAACTCGGCATCGGATTTCAAGTGCATTCCCGCCATGGTGTGCTGTACGAAAGTTCGGAAAGTCTGGCAGATCGCAGGCAGACTGTCTCTCGATGTTCTGAGCCGCGTATGCAGGCGCTCGTTGAGACTCTGCTCCCCGCTTCTCCGACAACAACGCCGCAGGCGCAAGGCGCTGCTGCGTAGGAGGGCAAAGGCGGCCTCCGCAGCCATGCGTGTGCCGATCCTGTGGGCGGGCTACGGGGCGGCGGGCACACAAGACACGTGAGCCCGTCGGGACGGGGCAGCCGCCCACGTGCGAGGCCCTCAAGACCCATCACCCCGGGGGTACCCTAGTAAGGTCCGAGAGAAGTTTACCGCGTCAGCTGCCCCTGCAGCCACTCGATGGTGGGCCAGCGGTGAAGCTTCAGTGAGCGCGTCTGCGTCAGACGTGCGAGGTGCCATGGCTCCACTTGCAGCGACTCGTCTGCTTGGGCCCCCCAGGGGGGCCGGAGCCGAAAAAAAAACACAGCCGAGGAGAAGATCGATCACGGGATGCGGCTGGGGCAAGTGCAGCGCTAGCGCGGTGGCTGCACGGGGCGGCGCGGGAAGCCTAAGTCTGTGGAGCCCCCCCAAGCAAAGGGGCCACATCGCCTGGCTCAGCCAACGATGCACCTTGAGCCAAAACGGCTACGGGGGCGTTAGACTGCTGCGGCTCGAAGGCTCAAGTGCGTGAACTGCCATGGAAAAAAGCTCGCTGCCTCTCACTTCCAGCGCAGCCCTGGCCCCATGGTTACTCCGCTCGCATGGCTCCTCTCTCAACTCCCTGCGGGTCACCCCGTGCTGCTTGTACGCCGATCCTGTTTTGCTTGCCCTGGCCCCGACCTCCCAGGAAGCAGTCCTGGAGCTCCTTCTGGGGACTTGAAGCAGAAGTACACATCATATATGTACATATCTACAATATATACACATGTGCTCTTACACACCACGTATATAAATCTATGAGTACACACATACTCAATACTTGTATGGAAGACCGCTGTGGTTCACACACGCTCACACATACACACGTGCACACTCTCTCGCTGTCTCTGTCGCTCCTTCTCTCTTTCTCTCTCTCTCTCAACCTCTCTCTCTCTATTTTTCTCTCCCTCTCTCTCTCGTTCTCGATGCGCAGCCCCCCCTGCGCAAACTTTGGCAAGGACGTGGCTGAGCGGTCCGGTGGTCGACTCAAAGGCCCAGACGGCGGGGGGCGCGCTCGGACCCCAAACTCCCACGACTGGCCGTGTGCCCGCCCGCCGCTCGACATGCAGGGAAGCGCGGCACTGGCGGGGAGGCGTGCGCCCGGGGTTGCAGATGGCGATCTCGCACCCGCGCTTCACCTCCTTGAACTGCTCGAGCTTGGACAGCCCGCCAGCCAAGGTGACGCTGCGCCTGGGTGCGCGGTGCCATGCAGACGCGCTTGGGCAGCTGCTGCACAGGAGACGACGGTGCCAGCACGCGTGAGAGGACGGGCATGGTGAGCATCGGAACGAACGCAGCCGGATTCGGGATCACCCCTCTTGAGCTCCAGCCACGGCCGAATCACCCGCGCATGTGAACTTGCTTCTGAATGAAATCGCGTCCCTCGAGCGTTCAAGCTCAAATGTCAAAGCGATGCAAATCACTGTCGTTCACTGGTGCCACCAGGTGATATTATGTGAACAGGCTTGCCCACTGGAGTTCGCACACTGTCTATGAGAGTCGGTCAACGGCCCTTGGCCACGACCATGGCCGGTGGGCAACCTACACGTATGACACCTATGCATTTGCTTTTGCCTCCGCCGATGCCAGCCCCTGTGAATGTCCGATGCGCTGAGTGTGCATACGGCACTTCCGATCCTAATGCCTATGCCATGTGTCAATGCTCTGGACACAGCATGGCGGCGGCAAGGCTAGCTCAGATGGGAATGCGTGGCGCAGGTGTGGTCAGCGTGCACAGAGCGAACATTCATTTAGCCAATCTCAACTTAAACCAGGTCGCTTGATTCTAGCGTGCCTTGAACCAACATACCTTCGCTTACCTTTGCTTATGACAGCGCATCCCACCCTGGGTATCAAAAACGTAGTCCCGTGGACAGCCCAACTTCGCTCGTAGAAACCTACACTTCAAGATATGGTCAGGGGCCGCTCAACCTATCACACCGCAGCGCAACTGAATATTCGCTTGACGTCGAACCTCAATACGTGTAGCCAGATACGGCAATGCTGAAACATGTCTGCATTTAGCTTCCACCCGGTTTTGAGCTCAGGCTGAACATCAAGTTTGAGTTCTGTGTTTGTGTTTGACTTTGTGGCTGATGCTTGGTGTTGATTCGAGCGGTTCATGTTCGTGGTCCTGCGTTTGGGAAGCTGGCTGCACCTGGCCTTTCATGTAATTGTGCGTGCGTGGGCTCGGCGTCTCCGCTGATATCGAACGCTTTCAGACCGCAGGATATCACCTGGCCACGGCTCAGCACATGTTGGTTTACAGTACCTAATCCACCCTTTTGTTCAGAGTAGCAGTGTTTTGCAATGCATGTAGTCGCTCCCGTCCTCTGAGCATGACATGTTCTCAGCTCGGCCTGCCTTTGAATTTGCCTGGCCTGACGCACTTCTCGCCGGCCCTGGCGGAGTCTACAGGGCCCACTTCGCAGCGAGGAGCAGCCTCTGCACCCAGCGGCACGATACAGTGAACACGTATAGTAAGGACGCGTGGTAAGGACGCAAGACCCTTGGAGGCCGAAGTTGAAGTATTCTGGGCGGCAGGCGGCCAAACCCCCAGGGAGCGTGAGAAACTGGCCTGCGAAAGTTGCTAGGGACGGGCCGCAGAGGCTGAGGCAGGCAAGGACCCAAGGGCACCCTTGAAAAAGTCGTTTGTCCTTACTATGCGCGTTGACTGTAATGGAAGACATAACACGAGGAGCAGTGGGAACATGTCGGAGAACGGTCTGCCAGCCGCCCAGCAGCAGTCGCCCAGCGGCAGCCCACTGGGAGCCGAACAGGCCGAGCGGCTTGTTGAACTTGGCCACCTCGGGATGCGTTCCGCCGCGCACTCCCCGACCGACCGCTCCCCCCAATGCTTGTCCCTCTCGTCGTCTCCCTTTTCCTCCCTGCTCCTGCCCCCCGTGCGTCCGTCCTTTTTTGCCCCTCTCTCTCTTTGTTTCTTTCTCTTTCTCTCTCTCTCTCACGCTTCCTTTGGTTGGCTTCTCTTCGCACCCTCCCCCCCTTGCCGTCCTGCTTAAATGTGTCAAGTACGTGGCGCACAAGTTATGCGGCGGTTATGAACGGGAGGCCTGCCTGGATTCTGCGAAAGCAGCACACGGTGGAGGGCCAATTGCGCAGATGATGTGGGAGAAGGGGGGCACAAACCTCGTCTCGTCTGGTAGTGTCTGTCCCCACAGCGGCGAAGTCTCTCGATCGAGCGTCGCCGGCGGGGTGGCGTGAAAAATACTTGCTGCCCGCTTGCTCAACAAACGGTCCATACTTGGAGAAGGGGGGGAGGAGGACGACGAATATGCGGATGAGAGGTAAAAGCGGCGGGGGAAGGGGAGAGCAGTGGAGGAGGGAGTGGAATTGGGCAGGAGGGGGAGGACGAGAAAGAGGATGAGAGGAGGAGGAGGAGGAGGAGGAGGAGGAGGAGGAGGAGGAGGAGCAGGAGGAGCAGCAGGAGGATGAGAAGGGGGAGGAGGCGCGCGGATGGAGAGGTGGGGCGGAGACAGGAAAGGGTGGCGGGCGAGGGGAGGGCGGGAGGAGGGGAACCGCAGAGAAGGGATGAAGGCGGGGGGCAAACCAACAATCCACCAGACTCCTCCTCCTCCTCTTCCTCCTCCGGCTCCGCTTCCTCCGCCTACTTCTCCGCATCCGCTTCCCTCCTCCTCCTCCTCCTCCTCCTCCTCCTCTCCTCCTCCCCCCTCCCCCCCTCCTCCTCCTCCTCCTCCTCCTCCTCCTCCTCCTCCTCCTCCTCCTCTCCCCTTCAACTTGGGGAAATGTGCGTTGACCGCTTTTGCCTCTACCTCTGGATGACGTCTGCTCGACTGTGCTCGTGCCCGCCTGCTGCCCCTCAGAGAGGTGCAAGGCCGCCACGGGGGGGAGGGGATATGGAAAGGAGACCCGGCGCGCACAAGGAAACCCTCCCCCTCCTCCTCCTCGTCCTCCTCCTCCTCGTCCTCCTCCCCCCTCCTCCTCCTCCTCCTCCTCCTTTTCCCTCCAAGTGGAGAACCGTGTGTTGACCGTTTTTGCCTCTGCCGCTGGATGCCTGCTCCACTGTGCTCCTGGCGACCATGCCCCTCAGAGGCGCATGGTCGCCACGGGGGGGAGGGGATGCGGCAAGGAGGCTCGGCGCGCACGGGGAGGCGTGGGGGCAAGGGCTAGGTCGGGCGTGTCCCCCTACAGTGAAGGGGCCCTGGGGACACACAAATAAATACAAACAAATAAAAGGATTCCCCATAGTTTCCTATATTTTCTAGGTTTTCGTCTTCCCCCCCACTTCCCACATTTCCCAATTTTTAAAGGGAATCGTTTTTCCCCTCCTGATACAGGCGGATTCCGGACGAAAAACCAAACATAGCCCAAACAGATTGCAAAACACTGTCAGACATGTTTAAAGAAATCGTCCCCCGACTATTTTTTGACCAGTTTTGGATACTCCTTCTGTAGAGGGACAGGCCCGACTTGAGGCAAGGAGGGTGGCCTTCTGACACAGGAACGGCTTGTCCTTCTCAGAAGCTCGACTACACGCAAGAGTGACCCTGGGTAAGAGTGGCCTTTGGTGCGCGGCTTTTGGGGGACCGCGGGGGGACCAAACACAAGCGCGCAAGACGCTATTATCGCATCGCGTTTGGCGACCGGGGGAACCCATTTGGCCCACACCAAAGGTCACTCTGGCGAAAGGTCACTCTTACGTCTAGTCGAGAAGCGCTCCTGCCTGAAAGGAGTCTTCGTAGAAGCCCCCTGGCCCTTCTGGGCATCCCCGCCGCCTTCTCATAACGCCGCCGTCCTCGCACCACCCCCTTGCGGGCGCCGCCAGGGAGTGTGGGAAAAAGGACCCCTCGCGAACTTGATTATCACCAAGCTCGGGCTGGCGCCAGTGGGTCCAGCAAGAGGAGAAGAGGAGGAGGAGGAGGAGGAGGAGGAGGAGGAGGAGGTCCAAGTCGCTGCAACCTTCTCCCCCAACCTCGTCTCCGTCCTCCCCCTGCGGGCCCCGCCAGGCACGGTCAGTCCCAATGGTGAAGACGCGGACCGTCGGCTTCTGGCACCGCGTTGACCGCCATCTTGAGCGACTGGCAACATCCTACAACGAAGACCCGTCAAGATCGGCTTGGCTCAATCCGCTGGTGGCCTTCGGGCTTGAAGGCCCGCGCTGGCGTCGCCGCCGCGTCGACGCGGCCGGACGGCAACCGCAAGCGAGCGCGGGCTCAAAGTGCACTCTGCGGGCCCACGTCCTGCAGGACGCCGTCGGCCAGGAGAACTGTTCTTCCGGTCACGTCGCGGACAACACCGGGATGCCCCGCACGTGGGCGGCGTCGCCCATTGGCCTTCACCGAGGCGCGGCTGCCCAGGATATGGAAACTGACGGCATCGGCTGCTCTCTCTCCTCTCTCTGTCTCTCTCTCTCTCTCTCTCATGTCCTTCTCCTCGGCGGCCTCCATCTCGATCTGGACTGCGAGCTCACGCGTGGGGCACAGCACGATGCCGATAGGGCCCTCGTCCTTCTTCAGAGCCTCTTCTGAGGACGGACGAGAGAGAGTGATAGAGATAGTGGAACATAAAAGAGAGTCGGAGAGCGAGAGAGAGGTGGCACACCAAACAAGCATTCCTGACGACAGGGCAGGGTGTTGAAGACAGGGGAATGCATGGGCAGAGGCAGAGACAGAGGGAGAGACATCGAGAGGACATGACCAAATGCCATGAGGGGAGACGGGTGGAGGCAAGATTGGTACGCGTTCGCGCCATATCTGCAATCATACCCATCCCTGCCATTCCCCTCCATGGAATTGGACCGCACCGCAGACTCCAAGGTTTAAGAGGAAAGGGATCCCGAAATGGCAAACCTGTCCAAGAGAGCCCTGGGGGTCAAGAGATGGGAGGGGCACGAAGGAGGCGGGTGGGAACGAAGGGTACTGCAGGACGCGGATGGGCGGAGGTGGGAAGAGAAGAGTGCATTGACAACGACAGACGAGAGCCACACTGTGGAGATGGCCAACGCTGCTGCGAGAGCACCGTCCCGCTCGACCGAAACTCGACGGTAACCATGAAGTACAGTCGGGGTTGACTGACACAAGACCCTTCCGAAGGTCACATTGCCACAGGGCGGTAAGACATGCATGGGTCGCGAAGCTCAGGACACAAGGGTACCCTCGATTTGGGCAGGCAAACGCTGCAGCGGGAGCACCGCTTCTGCTGCTGCAGTAGTCCGGCCAAGGCTGCGGCGAGAGAGCAAAGGCCCGATGCACGGAAAAGCGACCTACGCGGCGGAGGCGCTGCCTGGCGAGCGGGTGAAGAGTGCGGCGAGCGGTGCGGCGAGAGGGAAGGTCTGATGCACGGAGGCGCGATGGGCATCCGACAGGTGGCCGGCGCTGCAGGCATTGCGCAGATCTTGGGGGGCCGAGAACGCAGGCGCTTTGTTTGCTAGCGCCGCGGCGAGCGCGTCACCTCGTGGAACGGAGGCTCCATGGGAATCGCTGACTCTCGCCAGTGCCGCAGCCTCAGCACCACTTTTCAAAAGGGAAAAGAACGGACCGAGTGGAAACAACCCAAACTCAAATACCACACGCCATCACGTGGAAAACATCACATGATTACTCAAATTGTGTGTTAGTATAAAGACCGCAAGATGGAGATGAAGTAGTAGAGAGACAGAGAGAGAGGGAGAGACAGAGAGAGAGAGAGAGAGAGAGAAAAAAAAACAAGACAGAGAGAACACGGACGACATCGGCAAGGCCTGTCGGGGCGTCCGCAGTGCACGCTCACTACACGCCCATATATTGCAAGCCAAAGTCTAAGCTCAAAACATCCTATAAGCGGATTTTGGGCGAAAAACAAAAATATCCCGAGATGGTCAAAAAAAGTTGAAACAAAGTCGTCCCCAGACTACTTGTTGACGATTTATTAGAGGGACATGCCCGACTTCAATCTAGTTGCAGGGGCTGGTGCCCCAGAGGCTCGCGGGACGAAACCCCGCGGGGCTGTGCAAACCGCCTCGCCCCCCCCCCCCCCCAAGCGAGAAAGGGGCGCGCCCGACCCGGGTGGCTACAGCGCCGCGCGGCACTTCTGAGACGCGAGGCCTCGACGGGCGGCGCCGCGGGGCACGAGCGGGAACGCCATGCCCAGCTTAACCAGCTTCGAACTTATCCCCATCCATGAGATTGACAAGCCAAAAGGCGATGACAGTCTTAGGGATGTGCCCTTAGGCACTGAAGGCATCCCCAAGATCGGCACCGAGGTAAGGTGATGACACACACACACACGCACACACATAGGGATAGGCCTGTGTTTCAAGCTGGCCACCCTTGCCACCGAGGTTCGCCACGGCCGCCCACCGCGCTCTGGCCCTGCGCGCCTGGTTGCTGCCACCCCCCCGGCTGCTCGTCGTCGTCCCTTCTTCCTCTCGGCCGTCCCCCCCCCCTCTTTGCCCGCCGGCCAACTCGCTAGTCCGTGCCCCTTTCTATAGCTTCTCGCTGGCGCGGAGCTCGCCGCCTCGCCGCGGACGAAAAAGAAAGTGACTCAAGCTGGTATCGGGAGCGGCCAAGAGGGGGGTGTCCAAGAGGGGGGGGGGTGCAAATCATGACCGGCGGCACGTGCGCGGCCCAGCGGGGGGGGCCGGGGACGTATAGTGGAACAAGCAGAGGCGCCCTGTGATCTGGGGAAATATCATGGCCCCCGCCATGATATCCACCCCCCCTAGTCATCACCCCCCCCTTCTCCGCCCCCGAGCTGGCAACGGCCCGACGAAGGCGGCCGAGGCCACCCTGCCAGACCCGGGCGTCCCGAAGCGAAGGGCCCCACTGCCGCGGGGGGGCTCCCTTTGCGGGCGCGCCCGCGCCGGCGAGGACGCAGCCACAGGCCGAGCTCAGCCCGCCGCGCCCCGGGCAGGTGGCCTCCGAGCGGGCCGGAGGTGCCTCTCGGCCACGCGCAGAGGGGGGTGGGGGGAGGGGAGGGGGCTTCTTAGAAGCACCCCTGCTTCTTAGAAGGCGCGGGCCTTATCTACAGATGTAAGGCCGGCGCCTTCTCAGAAGCAGCTTCCTTCTAAGAAGCCCTCCCCCCTCCCTCCACCCCCTTGCGCGCGCTGCCAAGCCTCCGAGGCGGCCCAACGGGCCCGGGGCGCGCAAACATAGACCTGCGGGGGGGAGATTCTCATGGAGCGCTTGGTCGGTTCCCGACGTGTCCGTTGCCGCTGCGCCCGCAGTAGGAGCGCAGAGCGATCCATCCCACTTGGTGGGACATCCGTTCTCTCTCGCATCTGTCAGCTATGCATCTGAAGAGTTGCGAATCGCGCACCCTTCGGGGGCACGCAAACATGGATTGGCGATCCATGGAGTTGGCGCGCGGTCGCCAAATCCATGGATCGGGGGAGGAGCCCTCCCCAAAATGCGGGTGGTGCCGCCTCGTGCGGCGGCGGAGATCCGCCATTTCCCATGGAAACGGGACCCGTCGCTAATCCACGACCCCGTGATCCATGTCTGCGATCGCCTGAACGGGGGCTCGAAGTAGTTTTTTTTTGAGGAGCAGGATATGGGAGCGGACCACGATTATACGCACAACTCGCCTCGCCAAGCGTGCGGGCCTCGCCACGATTGCGCCCGAGGTTCGCCCGGGAGGCCCCCAGGACGCCACGACTGCTCCAAGGGGACCCAGCAGGGCCCCAAGAGGCACTACCCAGTGATTGCGCTGATGTGTTTTTGAAGGACTTTCGCGCTCGCGCCCTTCCCCACACAGTGCCTGCACTTAGGGGCTCTCGCCCCTCTTCCCAAGAGAGTTGCTGGGCCCATTTTCCACCACCACTACCATAGGTAGGAAGAGGAGGAGGAGGAGGAGGAGGAGGAGGAGGAGGAGGAGGAGGAGGAGGAGGCGGAGCGTGCGCCAGAGGCGGTTCGCTCCCTCCGCCCCGCTACGCGGCGGGCGGCGGCCGCTGGCCTGCCTTCTTGAAGGTCTCAGGCAACGCCCTCGAAGCAGACGTCGAAGTCATAGTACACGTGGAAGAATGCGAGGCGACGGCGGAGCGGAAGGACGGGTCGATCCGCTGCAATGGGGCGCCTTGCACAGGGACGGTGGGGACGAGTGGCCCTCGAGCCCCCACGGTCCCGCATCGCCGCCGAGGCTAGGAGATGCGGGCCCGCCGCCCCTGTGATGGCACGGCAGCGAAGTCGGGGAGGAAGCCCTCGCGGGGCAGCTCCTCGGAGGACGAGGCGAGCACGATGTAGACGGGCTGGAGGAACGAGGCGAAGTCGTGGAAGAGGTCGAAGAGGAAGTGGAGGCACGTGGTCTGGCCTCAACGACAGCATTAAGCAGCACGGCCCGAGACACGAGTCGTCGGTAAGGCCCGCGCAGTGGAAGCCTGGCTGCCAGTCTAGTAGCTTCAACCAACTTACTTGCCGCCACATAATCAGAAAGCTCGATTCTCTTGTGGCTCATCAGACTGGGATGATGGTACATCGTGATGATACTCGCGACTGATGAACCTCGGAGCCCCAGTCGGTGAGCATGGCATCCAGGAAGGCCACACCGAAGCGCCAAGGCAGCGAAATGATGGCATCTCGAGCAGTGGATCACGTAGTGGCGCACAGTGTCAGGTTGATCTGGACACCCGTAAATACAAGGTGCCAGTCGTTGCATGCGCCGGTTAGTAATCCAACCTGCAAGGTAAGTACGTAAACAAAACATCGCCCATGACTTCGGAATCTTGAGGAGCTGCTGTCGGACGTGGGAGAAGTTGATGTCTTGCACTCCATAGTGTGCGAGAAGCCGACACTTCAGAAGTTCAACCAACCGAGGAGGGAAAACAGCTCGTGAAAGGACCGCGGCAAATATCGCTTGCCACTTGGTCCTAGGTGGGCGCAGAGCGTCAAGATTTGGTGGCTGCTGAAGCGTCCGACTGAGAGGCAAAGGCAGAGGATCATTCTGAAATAGCTCCTGGACCGCACTAGGAATAGAAGCCCCTCCAGATTGCCAAACCTCAAGGGCAGCCAGGCCACCTCGGGCGAGTCCGATGTCAGACGGGAAGCCGTTAGCCGCATCCCCCAGGAAGCATGCAAGCGGATCCGACTTCCAAAACGAGGGTGCCATCGCCGACGAGTCCCACAAATCGGCTGTACCGTGGCAAACAAGAAGAGCTCTACTTGCTTGAAGACGGCTGCGCAAGGACGTACACGTCACAAGTGCAGTTCTCATACGTGCCGCAGCCGCAAGGGCGAAAGTGGAAATGAAATTAGGCCCAGTCCATCCACCCAGGTTGAAACAATCACCCAGTCGAAGCATATTGCTGGGAGTTCGCAACAGGCGTGCCACTAGATGTCGCTGCTCCTGCGCTGCAGCCCACTCCAAGGGAACGAGTTGGGAACGTAGCTCAGCACGGGGAGGGCGCGTTCACGGTGCAATCTAGCGAGAAGATCGGCAGGGGCACCTTGGCGGCTGAGATCGACAGTCCGTGTCGCATGCTTATTCAGAGGGCCACACCACTGATCGGCGATAGTCGCCGAGGGTCCAATCAAAAATCCCAAGTATGTGCACTTAGTCGCAAACGTGAAATGCGTCCACATGGCGCCGGCAGCAGGAAGTTGAGCCCGCACCTCGGCGCCAGCATCAGGGCAAGTCGGATGACGAAGAGGGATCACAATGCATTTCTTGCGTTTGAGGTGCAATTCGGCGAAAGCTGCCGCCGGCCGAAATATTCTGGCGAGCCGACGATAAGCACGATTCCTGAGTATGACAGCCCCCAGATCGTCGGCGCACGACCGTGTAACACCCAGACGCTTGCCAGCACAGACCATGGAGGCCTCTATATCGAGAGTGAGTGGGTTGGCAGCAATTGTGTATAGTGAACCGCTGAGTGGACATCCTTGGAGGACTCAAGACCGCATATAGAATAAGAACAGCTGCGAAGCGCCAGGATAGAAACACATAGTACAATAGCACAGGCCAGCGAGAGTTTTGACTAGTGGAGCAGGGGGCCGAAGATGCCGAAGACACATGAATAGCCAGACTAGACGAGGGGAAGGCCTGGGCGTAGTCGAAGGTCATCAGAGAGGGTGCCTCACACTGACGCTGTTGAGCTAAAACACTGGCAGCCCGCGCAGAGAGGTCCAGATCCGTGATATTGTTGAGGAAGCTTCTGCCCCCTAATAAAGCCATTCGGAGATTTAGCACCTATAGCTTGTGTGACCCTGTTGAGGCACCGATTGAGGACTCCACAGACCACCTTGTCACTCGTGTTTTTGAAACCCAAAGGGCGCGTCTCGGAGGGCCTTGCGGTGCACGCCACCATCATCAGGCTCTTCTTGGGATCCTTTGAGAGGCTTGGGGAGGAAGACAGCAAGTAGCGCCGAGAGGGCCGGGTCCATCAGATGCCCCATGGAGATCCAACGCAGAACAGCAAGCAAGACACGCGGCCCCGACCCTCTGTTCCATGCAGCATAATGTAACCCATCAGGTCCAGGAGCAGCCCATGACGCTTTCCCCAACAGACGAATAATATCTTGAACCATGGGGGGGGGGGATCTCGGTGAAGTCCTGGCTGCTCGAGAGGCGCTCGACGCACTGACGACCGCCGCCGGGGGCCTCAGGAGCCTTGGAGAAGACTGGGGCCCAGTATGTATTTAGGGCGTCAACGTGTTGAAGCTCAGAGGTGGAGGGCGCAGAGGAGGACGAGGAAGACGCACTGCGCACGCGCAACGCATCGGAAGCGTTCTCCTCCACAATGCCTGCCAGATACTTTCGCAAAAAGAGGGGGTCCCATTGCTGTGCCGACCTCGCTGCTGCGCGCTCCTGCCCGATCAAACGAGGACGCGTGCTGGGCAGGGACGCTTGAGACAAAGCGTTTTCGACCTCACGACGACGGGCAGCGGCTTCTTGTCGCTGCAGGTGAGCGCGCAAATCATTGAACCCTGAAGGGTCGACCAGAGATGCGCTGAATCCCCGGGCCGTGCAATGTTTCTGAACCCGAGGGAACTGAAACCGAAGAATACCTGCTAGCTTGTAGTCCTGCCCCCAAACGCATCGAGCAAGCGATCGTGCAACCATCGCTCGAGATGACAGCGAAGAGGGTGAAGAACGCAATAGCGCGTCGCGAACTAGAGCCCCAGCAGACTGCCTGATACGAGTGGCCATCACCAACATTCTGGGGGGGTCGTGCTCCAAGGACGCAACGCCTACTAGCTCTTCAAGCTCACGAACAGCTCGATCGTTTGTCTTGGTAAACCCATTTCGGTAGAGGCCGCTGCTGGGCCGCAGGGCCAGACCTCGACCCCCAGGCGATCACAAGAGGAGCATGATCAGAGAGGCCTTGCCGAAACAGCTTCTGCGGTTCTCTTAATGCTCGAGCAGTCTGGAAGGATTGACAGAGGACCCATGGGGGAGAAGCAGTGAAGCATCGATCAGTTCTGCTCGCAGACTGCGCGCCCTCGTGCCAGTGCGTGGGCGCGTCAGACGCCAGCTCGGACATCGCTCTGAAAATTGCACGCCAGATGCTGTCGCCAGGGCGCCCCGCCCTCGCTGAGACAGCACGGGCCGCTGAACGCAAGGAGCGCGAAGCCCTAGCCGACCCAGGCGCGCCAGCCCTTGAGAAGGAACGCGAAGTAGTAGAAGCTCTGCCCGACCCAGACGCTTCCTCACGAACAAAGGCAGTAGCGCGCTCACGATCCCCATCAGAGAGATTGAAGTCACCTATCAAAATCACCGAGGATCTTGCCGGCGCGCGTCTGACTTCTAATCGCTGCTCTCGGACTCGCGCTTGCAGTCGGAGAAGTTGCCCACGCTCAAGCCCATAGTTGTGGATATTCCAATGATACAGTGCAAGCCCACTGCGCATGCAAACAATTTTTGATTAGTCGCACTCGCCCAGGAACCAAAACTTCAGGAGAGACTTCGATAGAATCGACCTTAGGTACGAGTGCGAGAACTCCCCCCGCACGCTGCACCCCAATGTGCGACGCGAGCGGTAAGTGAGTAATGGCAGCGCGCTGAAGAGCCTCACGCACAGCAGCGTCGTCTCCATGAACATCATGAACAGCCACCAAGGTATCGGCTTGGGAGATCCTCTTCAGCATTCCCAGCCGCTTAGGCATCTTCGCGGAGTTGAAGTGGAGGGGCGCGCTTGCATTCCACGACGCGAGCCGAAGCTGATCATGACCAAATATTGTGCTACCCACACCACTGAACTTCGCGATCAGAGAACGTCCTCCTCGCCAGTGATGCTGCAGCTTCTTTGTTGAGGCCCGCGTCAGCGAGAGCAGCAATCTTCCATTCAGCTCGTGGAACTCGAGAGGACGATTTGGGCGTGATCGTTGCCGGCGGTTCCCACTTGGCGAGGAGCTGACCACCTTCGCGGTCGATGAAAGTCGCGACTCCGAACTCATCTGAGATGGCACGCCGCAAATTCTTGCATGCCATCTCCGTAGCAATCTCTTTGCGGTTCTTGTCGGCAGAGACGTGCAGGGGGATATTCTTCGTGACGAGCTGAATGTGAAAGGACCTCCTCTGCCCAGATGCATGGCGAAAGGCAGCCTGAGCCTGCTTGCGTCTGTTCTCACGCGTGGCAGGGTGTGGGCATTGGAAGACGAGCATGAACTGCTTCGCGAACTCATCGCCTTGTAGCAGCACGTCCTCGCCGAGGGTGATGCTGGCCGCTTGGGGCCACTGCTTGATGGCTCCTTCGACGCTCTTACGAGGGACAGGTTCAGGAGCGCGGACGTGCATAATCGTCGGGTCGACCTCGCGGTCCCAGTCGGCAGAGGCGATCGGGATGTTGCGGGGCTTGGTTTTCGCAAGGTCGAGCTCGCGCTCCAAGTGGGCGAGCCTCTTTTCCATTGCCGCGAACTTGGTCTCAACCGTGCTGACGCGCTGGGGTTGCAAGTCCAGGTCCCGACGTAGAAGCCGAATATGCTGATTGAACTTTTCCTCATACTGGTTGAGGAGCGGGCCCGTGGCCTTGACCATCGCGCACGGGAGGGTCTCGTTGAGGGTGGCCATGGCCTTGGCCGCGAACTCCTTGAGTGCCTGGTCCTTGAACTCATGCAGTGAGCTCTGGGCCCAGGGATCGAGAAGACCACCAGCTTGGGCATGCGCATCAAGCGGAGGTCCCGTAGGCGTTTCACATGGACTTCCTTCTTCTCCCGCAGCGAAGGCACCATCACGACGTTCCTGAGAAGGAAATGTCGCCACGCCTTGAGTGTTGCCGTCCCAGCCGTCCAGCATGTTGGTGTCGCCCATGCCTGGCACGTGAACTCCTTTCTCACCTGGTTGGGCTCGAAGGCTGGCCGATCCTGCAGGTGGGGTGCACACATCATATAACTCTGGTGGTGCATCATCTGGAGCACGCCCTTGCCGAAGCGGCAGACGTTGGCCACGAGGGCCGTGATGAGCACGCCCGTCACTGGAAGCGACAGAAGACAAATCAGAGTGAACCGAAGCAGCCCTCCGAGAGCGCCTCTCGCCGTCAGGCTTTTTGCGGTCCTTCTTTTCCTTGATCGGGTGCCGCACCATGTGCATGCTGCCAGAGCGCTCGCCATCTGCACCCATACGGTAGGGATGTGGGAAGGGGAAAGCGACCGAAATTTCTGCCAGGCACCAAGTGCCTTGCCTGCCGCGGACTACCGGTATCCCTTTGTCTCCCGCGGGAAACAGGCATCTTGAGCCAAAATGGCTACGGAGGAGGAGGAGGAGGAGGAGGAGGAGGAGGAGGACCTCCTCATCCTCACTTCTCCCCCGTCCTACGTGTGGTAGTGGTGTTAGCCAATTTGCCCATTACAAGTGGATGGGTCAACCGAGGTCCTCGCCCGGTGCCCGCACGTGGGCGCCTCGTGCGCTGGATGGGTCGGCCGAGGTGTCGCCAAGTGCCCGACCGTAGGTCCCTCGTGGGTGCCCTGTGCGCTGCTGGGCAACCGCACAGCTTGCACTGTAGCTTCGACCACGTAGCTTGCACTGCACAGCTTGCACTACAGCGCCTGCACCACACTGCTTGCACCACACAGCTTGCACCTCCCTGGGTGCACCGCGTACACGCTGGTCGGAAGAAGGTAGGAACATGAAGTAGGAAGGCGGATCGAGTAGATTGGGTTCGGGCCCGCCCAAAGAATCTCACACAACAGCCAAACCATATCGATCATTGCAATAGGAAGGCGCTGGAAGTAGATTGGGCGCCGGGAATCCTAAACAACCTACTTTCAACGACCGATGGGTTGCTTGCACCACCTAGCCTACTCCGCACGGATCGCACTGCGTGGCTTGCACCTGCACGGCTCACGCCACATAACCCGCACCACGCCCGCCGCTGTGCCCCCCTGGCCATGTCAAGTGCCGTCTCGCAGGGCTCTTGCACTCTGACGAGGGACCCGCCCCTTGCCATCGCTCGGACGTCCATTCCCTGTGCATGTTTCGGTTTCGTGAATTTTTTGTTTGCTCGATGATCCAGGATGCTCCTCCAGGGTTCTCGCCGGGAAAAAAATGCACACGTCCGAGCGATGCCACGGCCCCCTCTGGCCGCGGACCGCCGCGGGCGTCCCACTGTTCCCGAGGCCACGGCGCTCCGCAATACACAGTGGGTCCGTGCTCCTGAGGCCGCGATCCGACGTAAACATCAATGACGATGTGTCCGCGACCCGAGCTTCCAAGGCGGCTCAGGCAGGCTGCCAAGGCAACAGAAATGGCGCGAAATGCCTCGAAGACGGCCCAGGATGGCCTCGAGGCGGTCGAATACGGCTGCAAGAGGTCCCGAGATGCCTCCAAGGGGGCCTAGGAAGGCCACAGGCGGACGTCCAGCACGGTCCGAGGAAGCCAAACCATTGGTGTCTCGTTGGTGGTTGAATGACTTTCGCATTCTCGCCTTGCCCGGCTTTCGTCAGCTCAAGACAGCCCCAGAAGCTTCCACGATGCCCCCAGGACGGCCCAAGAGCCCCCAACAGTATCCCACCACGGCCTCAGAGAACCTCACGATGGCCCAAGAGGCACCGAAGACGGCCCAAGCGTGCCTCCCGTGGGGCCCAAGACGGCCTTCGAAGGCCCTCTGACGGCCCAGATTGGCGGCAAGGCGGCCCCGAGACACCCACCATGAGGGCCCCAAGAGTGCCCAAGAGAGCCCAAAGACTGCGCAAGAGAGCCACAATACGGCCCAACGGTGCTCCAAGAGACCCCCCAAGACTGACTTACAGGAGGCCAGGACAGCCCCAAGGCGGCCCGAACGAGTTCTATCAGAGCTCCTCAAAAAGTGACGAAAAGTGTCACATGTGACGACTTTCCTCTTCCTCCTCCTCCTGCTCCTCCTGCTCCTCCTCCTCCACCTCCTCCTCTTCCTCCTTTTCATCCTCTTCCTCATCTTCCTTCTCCTCCTCCCTCTCCTCACCATCATCATCAGCATGACCATGATCACCATTATCATCATCAGCATCATCGCATCGCCATCACCACCACCATCATCATCGCCGTCGATGTCATCGGCACCAGCATTAACACCATAATTATTACCATCATCATCGTCGTCATCATCGCCATCATCGTCGCCACCACCACCATAATCACCAAACTCCATCATCACCATCATCATCATCAGCATCATCAACAACACCATCATTATCATCATCATCATCAGCAGCAGCAGCATCATCATCATCTTCATCATCAGCATCATCACCGTCAGCATAATCAGAATCATCAGCATCATCACCACCATCATCATCATAATCGTCGCCATCAACATCATCACCATCATCACCATCATCATCACCATCATCGCCACCATCACAATTACACTCACCATCATCATCACCATCACCATCATCAACATCAGCATCGGCACCATCATTTTTCTTACCACTATCATCAGCATCATCATCATCATCATCATCATCATCATCATCATCATCATCATCATCATCGCCATCATCATCATCATCATCATCATCATCATCATCATCATCCCCACCGTCACCATCACCATCATCGCCACCACTACACCGCCATCATCATCATCATCATCAGCATCATCATCATAATCATCATCACCATCATCAACATCCAATTCCTCAGCATCCGCAGCACGGCTCCCCCAAGCCAGGAGAAAAAAAGGTGCCACACGTGACGGCCACCTGCGCCCCCTCGAGCAATCGCCACCCTGCCAGAATGCTGGGCTGCAACGGCGCCGGGAATTACCGCAGGCAGCTGGACACCTTGCGCCACGCAGCCTGCACCACATAGTGTGTGACTGTCACACACTATGACACGCGATGAAGGGTCCCAAAAGGTTCCGAAAGCGCCGGACGGTCCAAGATCAGGTCGGGCGTGTCCCCCTGCAGGCGGATTTTGGACGAAGGATAACAAATAGTCCAGAGATGCTCAAAAATAGTAAAACAACAATAGTCCGCAGACTATGTTTTGACTATTTCTGAATATTCCTCCTGTGGAGGGACATGCCCGACTTAAGCCCAAGAGCGCTTTCAAACGACCCAAGAGGGCAGAACAACAAAAGCACTGCACAGCCTCGAGACGGCCCCGGAGCGGCCCTCTCAAATCTTCCCCCGGTGGTTTTTCCCAAACGCTTGGGGGAACACGCAGTCCATGAATTAGACAGCCAAGCACCGCCGGATGTCCTCAATATGCCCCAACAAGCTTGCGCAAGTACAGGACGGCTCAAGATAGAAGGGGATGGCGGTGATTAGCCGTAGGCGTCGTAGATTGCTCAATCCCGAGAGCTCAGGACAGAGGATTACAGGGAACCTGAGAGCACTCTAACTCGTGCCTCGCGGCACGGTGGCCGATAAGACGCCGTGCTTGATTTGCCCTCCTAACCTTTCTGATAGCTCTGAAGCCACCCTCAGTGCCACGTGTGGGCGTCGCAGTCGTGCGACAGTGCGCCTGGACGCGGGCGGAGCTGCGGCCGCACACACGTGGCACACAGACACAAAGTGAAACCAAGGGCTACCCGTGACAGTGATTGCCTGAGCATTTGGTTCAGAGGAAGCAGGCTGATGTGTGGCCGCGCTTTCGCTGCGCATTGCACGATACAAGCGTTTCCGAAAGGTAAGGAGCGGCGGTGACTCGCCGTAGGCGACTTTGGCACTGATAAAACAAGAGTCGGGCGAGGATGACTGATATGAGATAGAGAACGAGAAGAAAGGGGAACGGGACGGAAGACGAGAGAGTAGCGCGAGCTGAACGAAGTCGCTCCCCCCCGCTGGAGCACCGGCTGGGCGACCGTATGCACCAGCATCGGCAGCAGGTAGGCGACGGTCTTGCCGCTGCCCGTCTCAGCGATGCCTCGCCCCCTCATTCGTGGCACCCCGTTTCCACTTACCCCTCCCCCCCTTCCCACTGCACTCCCTTATCCTCCTCCCACTCCTCCTGCTCTTCCTCCTCCCCCTCCTCCTCCTCTCCCCCGCCCGTCCCCGTCCCGCCAGTGCCTCGCCAACTCCCCCACTGCATTTATCCTTATCCACCTGGTCTCGGCGGTTCATCGGCCCCGCCCCCAGTCCTCTTCCGTCCCAGTCAGCGTTTTTCGGTTCCGAGATGCACGTCCCTCGGCCGAAGAAAATGTTTTGATTGAGTTTATGTTCAACGCCACCAAACTGCCTGGAAGTTACAAGCCAGCACAGCTGCAACGGAGGGAGGTACAACTGACACAGAATCAAAATATCACTCTGGCTGCGGGCACCGATGGGAGGCATAAGCGGCTCGTCGTCCTCCTCCTCCTCCTCCTCCTCCTCCTCCTCCTCCCTAAGGGGGAACGAGACACGATTGAGCATTGCGCCTCCAACGTCACAGGGACTCCACCACCAGGACTTCTAGATGCTGATTCACAACCAGGCGTGTCAGTGACATACGCGTGCTAGCAGTGCACGAGCGAGCAAATATCAACGGTCACTCCGAGCTCCTGCCGACTGCAGTGGGGACAAATACCTTTAGAGAGGGCTTCCCAACCAGAATCTGCCGCTCGACTGGAGGGAGTGACGCACTTAGATGCGACACCACGAGCAGAGGCGAATGAGGAGTGGCACTTTCACGTGATACAGATGGATGGCACGGAATGGTCAGAGCAATCGAACACAGTCATCTTGTGCCCGAGCCTGTCCAGTTCAGAAGCATGAAGCTTCGAGGTGGCGGTCTGGAAATGCCACGGCTGCCCCTAAGACGCACAGAGCACCGCCAGATCCCCGCCCGCTGCTGCCAGCGGTGACAAACATGAGACACGGCCTGAGGCACTGGAACCTCCCGAGGGGCAGCAGAGAGGTCCAGGGGGAGTCAACGAACCATGACCGAGGCAGCCAACTTCAGAGTTGCTCTGGCCAGGGGGACCTGCGCTCATCAACATATTGGAGAAGCTCGGCAGGGTGCTTATGCAGGTCGACAGATAACCTGGCCCCTGTGTCGGCGTGACCGCTGCCAATCCTGAACCAACACCCGTGGGCGTCAATCTCTGAACCATCAATGGAGCGATGAACCGCGACTTCGGTACACTCCGCAAGAACGTGCTGCTGGGTATAACGCTGCGGAAGGGCACCACAGTACATGCGCTTGGTGGATACCTGTTCGATCTTGGAACGAGCATCTGTGTTGCCGCAGTATGAAGAGATGTTGGAGGTCTCGGGACTCCGAGAGAGAACAGTCGCCCAAGTAAAGGCGCTGAATTCAGCCCCCTGGGGGGTATGGGGCTAAGGGCCCCAAGCCAGGACCCTGAACTTTGCCAACAACTCCCCAGTCAAATTGACCAGAAACACAACACTGCCTGGTCGAGATAATTCACGGAGAGCATGGCCAATGCGCGAACCATACACATATCTCTATATATATATATATATATATATATATATATATATATATATTCATCCCGGACTCCAGCACCTTCAGGCTGATCATCAGAAAAGGGCCATTCTTCTCTGTGCAGCACAAGAAAAAGACCATCATCATTCTCTCCGAAGGCCTTACAAAAACAAACACGAAGAGAGCGTCGAATTGCCAGACGCCTTAGCAGCCAGAGCAAAAACAATGTTGCTCCGTTCGACCGCCTCAGCGCGGTCGGCAAGTACAGGGGGATGAAAGTACCCCCAGATGCGATGCAACATCGAATCCCCCATCCCGCAAAATGAAGGCCTCCGTGGCAAACGCCCGAATGCTAGTCTTCTGAAGAGGGGAAAACATCTTCGATTTCGGCGAGATGCATTCTTTGACCCGGGCACGAACCATAGGCTTCACAAGAGCAGGACAGAAGAAAACGAGAGGAACCAAATTTCCGAAATCGAAGTAACTTGTCTGCCGTCCGATCCGAGAAATCGACATGCACAAAACGGATACCAGTTCTGACACCTTGCGCCAGGAGCAACTGTCAGCTGACAATAAAAAAGCTTGTCGCGCCTTGCGCGGAGTGGGCAGATCGAAAGCCCACGTCTGACTAATCCAGATCTCCTTCCTCCACCGGGTGATGGGCGCCGAGGCAGTCCTCGACATGGGCCCCCCATCGAAGATGTCAACTGCATCCGTTTTTTAGACATCCACAGCCACAGAGCCCTTCAAAGGGGGCAAACTGATTCGAGATCGGCAGTGACCCCGACCCTCTTGTGATCAGGGTGGAGAATTTGCCCAATCTCGTCCAAACCTCGCTCCGAGCGGGCGGGCTGCCAATGCATTGCTTAGCAAGCCGCCTCATCTGACCTCCAGTCATGAACGCAGCGCATACCTGGCAGACACACGCGAAGCTTCCGTCGCTGAAATCCACCACGAGGCAGCGATGCTCGCGCCCCCGCAACTTTGCGGGATCGACTTGTAAAAGGCGGTCACAAAAATCCTGGAGCCGGCTTAGACGAGGGTCGGGACCCGCGGAGGCAGTGGCAACACTGCCAGACGCGCCCGACCCGACTCCAAACACGCGGTGGCCTCGGATCCATGACCTGCGGGCGCGGGGGCTCAGCGCGGGCAACCCCCTCGAGATTCGCCCGAGGCCATCTCTCCATCAGGTGCGCCGCCAAACGCGTGACAGCGCGCGAGACCAAACGCAAAGCATCAATCCCCGCTGGTTCCGCCTCAGACAGCCTGGGATGCATTAAAGCGCCTTCTTTGGCGGCGCCATCTGCTGCGTTGTTCCCGATGGTGTGGAGACGCTCGGCCCACGGAAGGGCCTCATCGCCCCCCCTGTGGGCCCGAACCTTGGAAACACCACGGGGGAAGCCCTGACCGAAGGCGTCCGCCTGCATAACAGGTCCCGCGTAGGGCCTGTTAGGGTGCAGGCGGTCCTGGCGTTTTTTGCCGAATTCATTGGCCACCACCTGGCAATCAGAAAACAAATCAGCAGCACTAAATAAAACAGAGGCAGCACTAGCAGGGGCAGCAAATTCAGCAGCAACACTAGTCTGATGATAAAAACCTCCTAACGGCCCGAACATCTTGGCCAAGACTCTACCACTGTCGCTGAGCCAAACAACTCCCCATCCAGCCCTAGAGAGGTCCTTGACCTTAGACCTGAAACCGGACCCGTCGCCGTGCAACCCCCCCGAGAGCTCCCGAACCCCTGGGTCAGGCGGAGGGAGCTGCTCCTCGGCGAAAGCCTCTGGGTAGATACAGAACTGAACGGCTTCCATAGCTTGTTCCTGGGAGAGCGGCTGAGGAACGTCGCTGCCAGGGCGCTGGGAAAGGCCCGTCTCGCAGAGGAATTCAAAACCAGGGGGCGGGCCCAGCAGCTCCGACCGTATCTTGTCCAGGAGTTGGCAACCAATGAGATCGGCACGCTCGTCTTGGGCAGCGCCGCAGTCCGTGGATCATCGCGTCTCCAGCCTGCAACAGAGCAGTCGGCAGGAGGCTCACCCCAGGGGTGCTGAGCTGCAGCTGACGCCAGCTCCCCCATCTGAAGGCTCGGGGAAGCTGGCGGCCAGGCGACTGGAGTGGTCGCGCAGGGGTGGCTGAAGACGCTGCTGGCAGCTGGCGTTACAGATGCCAGAGTCGTGTTGCTGCGCACCAACGTGCTGCTGGTCTCCGAGATGTCGCCAAACGACGTGTCCATGTCAGTATCGGAGTCGTGCGGCTGCTCACCGTCGTGCCTCTGGCCCCCAACACGCTGAACATAAACGTGTCATAGGTGTCACAAGTGGGTGACGGAGACGTGCGGGCGGTCTCCGAGGTGCTGGCAAAGCACGTGCCACACTTCAGGTTGGAATCGTGTGTCTGCTCACCGTCGTGCTGCTGGCGTTCGAGATGCTCATCGGAAACATGGCCGTTTTCTCGTCGCGCTTGTAGATCTCACAGTCGTGCTGATGCTCACCGTGATGCTGATCAACACTCTGCTGCTGGTACTGGTGATCACGCCAATGCTGATGCAATGTGTGTCCAATCTGCTGGGAACGGTGCTGCTCAGAGACGTAGCGTGCGAAACACGGCACGTCACACATCGATATTCGCGCCGCCCCACGCCGTCCTGCGGCTCAGAAATGTGGTGTGCAACGAACTGTCCGTGACACTCGTTGATGTCATATTGTTGCGGCTGTTGAATAACGTGGCGCGTGTCCCACTGCTCGTGCCACTCGTGGATTTCGAATTTGCGGTGCCGTTCAGCGCCTTGGTGCTGGATGATTGTCGAGGTGCTGCTCCAGCACGTGGCGCTCGACACACTGCCCGTCTCATCTCGTGGGTGTCGTGGTCGCCGTTCCTCATTTTCCTTCGCCCCATCCTTCCCTTTGATCTCGCCCGACTCACCCACCTGGAGCCCCCGAAGCTCCATCCAAGGCCGCGCCAAGGGCCAAGGCGGCGCAGAGGCTGCCGTCTGCCTCGCATCGCACAGCGGCCCGTCACCCGACGCCCTCTCGTCCTTCTCCTCTGACTCCTCCCCCCCTCAACCTCACTTCTTCCTCTTCCCCCCTCCCTCCCTCCCTTTCTCTCTTCCTTCCCCCTCTTCCTCCTCCTTCCTCAACCCCCGTCGCATGGCTCCTGCGCCGAGAGGTCCCTAATGTCCGTGGCCGTCCAGAAGCTGCACTCCTTAACAGTTTGATCGAATCGCACGAGCAACCGTGGACGATGGGAGCCGCCCGCGCGCACGTCGGCACGAGTCCTCGATTCGATCGCTTCGTGGACGGCCGCGACCTGCTCCCTTTCCCCCCCCCCGTCCACCAGCCGAGGCACGGAGCGGAGGCCATCAGAGCCCCCTCCCTCACATCCTCCCGTGGGGGAGGCGGGTGCTGCAAGGGTCCTGGCGACGGCCCGCCACAAGGGGCCACGCGGGGGCGAGGGCGAGGGCTGGGCGGCGAGTGCGAGAGGCAGGCGGGACGCTGCTTCCGGCAGCGGGCCGAGGGACGGTTCGGCGGCCGTACCAGCCGAGGGAGGGCAGGCAAGCGGTGGCGCGATGTCCAGGGCGCCGAGCCCCCGAACGCCTGAGCCCCGAGCCCCCCACCCCCAACGCCCATGCTTGCAAGGGAGTTCGAAGTACACACGGCTGTGCTCATTTATGTTGCTCCCATCGTACTTCAGGACCACATCCCAGAAATAATTCTTGAGCACCCGGTAGAGTGTCGAAACAGTGTCGGAACAGTGTCTCCCAGGGCCCGACACGTGCAAACCCTCGAGCTTCGGTGCTTTCCTGGTGCTCGAAATTCCTTCGGGGGGTCAAGGCTAAAAAGTAGGCTGGAACCTCGTCAGGCTGGGCGAACACGGGGAGGCCACGCGCTGGACACGCGTGCGGAGGGCACGCGCTGCCGTCGGCACCGACGCCGGGGCGCTGAGCGCTGGAAGGTGCCCACGCGGCCACGCGCGTGCCCGGCCCTCGCCAGGGCCCAGGCGCCAGCCACGCCAACGAGGGGCAACGGCAGGGGGGAGGGGCACAAGGGGGGGGGACGCATCGACCTGCCATCGGCGATACCTCGCCGACAGACCGGCGATGGGCCCCGGATAGCCAATCCGCACCTTCCCGGCGGAGTGGGGGGGCTATCGGGTCCCCATCGGCGATCGCTGGGCGATTGGGGGTCGATGCATCCCCCCCCCTGTGCCTATCTTCCCCTGTCGCTGCCCCTGGGTCAAGGTTGTCCAGCTCCACGGAAGGCGAGCGACTGCCTCCCCCCCCCCTCCGATGACGTCCCGGCCGCTCAGTGCCGCGGGGACGGCCTGTGCCTGGATGGCGGTGGGCTGATGGTAGCCGTGCCTGCGGATGCCGCCCATGAGCTCCTGCGCGCGGACCGGGGGGGTATCGCAGACCGCAGCAGGAAACATCTCGAGCCGCCTGGACTCGGGGGTCCGTCCCGCCTGATAAAGGGGGCGGGAGGGGGGAATCGGAGCACCTGCGGCCGACCTCGCAGCACAGCACATTGCAGTCCACGTGCTACGGCCGAACCCGGAACACGGGGCCAGCGGAGAGGGAGCCCACAAAGGAGCCCATAGCGGTCCCATCAGCCACTCCTTGATTCCTTCCTCCTTAACCCTTGTCTTCCTCCTCCTTCCCCACCTCTTCCTACTACTCTTCCTCTCGCTCCTCCTTATCCTCTCGCTCCTCCTCAGCCTCCGTACTCCTCCTCCTACTCGTCTTCGTCCTTTGTCTCGCCCTCCCTCTCTGGCGTCATCACGCTCTGTGTCTTGCTCTCCGTTCGACCCATGGAGGCTGCATTCAACTTGAACTACGGATGATACGTACTTCAAGCGGTGAGGCCTTCCTTGAATGACAACCGGCAGGCGCGCGCGCGGATGTGTCCTTGCCGAGTGATTCGGCCAGGTGGCCAAACGACGCCACGGGGCTCGGCACACTCAAGCCTGTGGCGCTGACCCGCAGCTCCTTCCGGAGATTGTCCACCGCATCAGAATCAAGGCCTGCGACCTGACGGGGTGCGCGATGCAGGAGAGGACGGCGGGCGGACCACAATGTCGTATCAAAGAGCACAATTGCAGTTGCACGTGCTCTGGGGGGACGCGCGCTGACGCGCCCACTATATAAAAATGACTGGAGCTTCCTTTTGAACACCAAAACACTTGAGAGCTGTGTCCAACTGAACAGCGGGGGCGCACGTGAGCGCGCCTACTGGGGCCGATGAGATGAGATGAGACGACTAAAGACGTAGCTTGGGCTTCATATACATATGTATGTGTATACATCTATAAATAAATGCACATGTATGTATACATCTATCTACAATCACACACATACATGTGTATGTAGTTGTACATGTAATTACGGATGCACGTATACATGTCTATATGTCGGTATGTTTGTATCGTTACATACAAGCATACACCTATATACACATTGATAAACATGTGTGGTCAGGGCACCCGCCAACATCTACCTGAAGCTGTGCTTTTCAGTTGTTTCGAATCTAAGTGCAATCGAATTGGAATGGCGCACATCCCAGACCCAGCTGATTACACTTGTAGGCGTATTATAATCTTTTTTGAAGTGAATTAGAATGGAACAGGCCCCATACTCAGCTGCTACCAACTGGAATCCGAGTCGAGTCGAAGTATCAACTAGTTGGAAGTGAGCAGGTCCCAGATCCAGGTGGTTCCAACACTATTCCTAGCGTAATCGAACTCGAATCGCATTGCAATTGGGCAGGCCCCAGATCCAGCTAATTCAAAGTTGACCCCTATTGGACTATTATTCGGGTCTAGGTGAAATAATGCAGATCCCAGGTCCAACTAGTTCCAACTGCAGCCATATTGGGATCGAATTAGAAACGAAGTGGACTTGAGCAGGTCCCAGCTCCAGCGGGTTCCAATTCCAGGCCGATTGGAATCGAAATAGAAACGAGTTAGAATGGAACAGACCCCAGACACATCTGATTACAATTAGAATCCTAACTTGGAACCGAATAAGAATACAATAAGACTTGGACAGATCACAGATGAAGCTGATTTCAATTCGATTCCTAGTCAAATCCGTTCCGAATCTAATTGGAATTTAGCAGGTCCCAGACCACACATCCCCCAGGGAGGCGCCCAGCTGGGCGCGGTGTGGCGCCACACACCATCAAAAACCATGGACACCACAGCCCCCAGGCGAAACACATCAACGAAACCCAGGCTCCGACTGGTTTTCGAACGGGGAACATTGAAATACCTTAGGTTTTGCTGGGGTCCCTAATGACAGAACAATCGGGGCCTTGTGTTCGTGAAATGTTTGTGCCTGAAGTGCTTTGATTTTCCTGTGATTCGTTGTGGTTTGGTTGATGTTCCGCTTTCTGCTGGTTTCTGGCACCCCGCGCCCAGCTGGGGCCTCCCTTTGGGTTGGGGAGGCGGCGCTGTGGGGGGAGAGGGCACCAGAAACCAATAACATCAGGAAACTCAACCAGCACACAGCGAACTATAGGGAAACCAAAGCCCTCAGGCAAACAAATCAAAAAGCACCCAGGCCCCGATTGTTCTTTCAGCGTTGTTGAACATATTTTGTGGGTTGTTCAATGTTTCCCGTTCGAAAACGTGTCGGGACTTGGGATTCGTTGATTTCCCCCTGGGGGCTGTGACTTTAATGTTTTATGTGTTTGTGTATGTGCTGATGTTCCTGTTTTTGGTGGTTTCTGGCGCCCCCCGCGCCCAGCTGGGGCGTCTCCCTGGGGGATGTGGGATCTGGCATCTGCCCAAGTCCACTTCGACTCGGATTAGAATTGACTAGGAATCACATTGGAATCAGCTTTATCTGGTGTCTGTCCAGGTCTAATTGGATTCATATTCGATTCCACATGCGGAGACTACTTGGAATCAATTGTCTGGGGCCTGCTCCAATCTAACCCGGTTAAAATTGGATTCCGATGGGTCTACACATGGAGTCACCTGGATCTGGATCCTGCCCAGATCCAGTTCGAATGATTCCAAGAGGAATGCACTTTGAACCAGTTGGACCTGGGATCTGCACAATTTCTTCTAGATCCGAATTATATTCCAATGTGAACCAACATTGGATGAGCTGGATGTGAGACCTCCCCAATTCCAGCGCGTGTTTAACCTATATCAAAATAAAAACCTGAATGTAACCAACTGGGCCTGGGACCTGCTCAAGTCCAAGTCGATCCGAATTCGACTCCAATCGGAACATTATTTAGATCAGCTGTGTCTGGGGTCTGGTGCAGCCTAATTCAAGCGTAAGCAGTTTCGAATAAGCTGACAAGTGTAATCAGCTGGACCTGGGATCTGCACTATTCCAATTCGATTCTAATTCGATGTCAATAGGAATGGAATTTGAACCAACTGGCTCTGGAATCTGCCCAATTCCAATTACCGTCTAAACGGAACCTAATAGGAATCGAATTGGACACAGCTGGGTTTGGATCTGCCTAATTCCAACGCGATTCACATTAGATTCCAATAGGGATATTCTTGGAGCCAGCTGGATCTGAGATCTGCTCAATTCCAGTTCGGTTCAAAAGGGATTCCATTCGGGATCAAATTGGGAACAGCTGGATATTGGTGTGGCGTCCAATAAGAACCACATTGATGTGTTTGTCAAGAACGGTAAAGGACGTGCGAGAGCACGGGGGGTCGAGATCAGCTCCTGGCTATTCTGAGAAGCAGCTTGATGCTCGCGTGCGCTCCGCCCAGTGGGCCAACTGGCACATGGGGCAGGATTTACTTTCAAAGACAGGGGACATGCTGTGGTGCAGGTGGCCTGAATAGAGCGGCACCAGGGGCCAGGTACGCAAGGATGGCGCATATATTCCAGCGTTCATCCTGAACCACAAACAACAGCCTAGGGTAGCTCGAGTGCCCCCCTCGCATATATGTATGTATACTCATATATATATATATATACACAGACGCAACTATACCCATGAATATACACATTTATAGATATCTATGTACACACATGCATCACATGGTGGGGGTGCCTGAATAAGCTGGCTGGGCGCATGCGGACGCATCCTCTCTCGTGGGCCATGAAGTGCGTGACAAATGTGCCACGATGAACCGCGGGACCGCATGCGGATGCACGATACACCCGCTGGGGGGGGATAGTTGTACCTTCATCGCGTTGCGCTACAAGGACTCTAAAACAGGTAAAGAAACACCACAAGCGAGTCCCAGGGGGGACGAAGAGTCCGGCATCCGTATTCCCCAATCAATATAATCAAGAACCGTGCCCTCTCCCCCAGAAGCCTCCTAGACGGGCTCCGAGTAGATGGGGCCAGAGGATCGCGCCGCATTGGCGATGCATCGGCGATATATCGCCGATGCATCGCCGACGTCGGCTGTGCATCGGCGAAGCTGGCGTGGAGAAAATCGGGCCCCGCATCGAGCCGCATCGCCGATGCATCGGCGATGCGGCACGATCCTCCGACCCCATTTACTCCGACGCCGTTTAAGAGGCCCAGATCCCCACTGCCGGCTACATGTTTGGTCCGTGGATGCCCTGTGCGCCGGGTGGGCTTCCCCAGGCGTCGCTCCGCTTTGCGCCCGTGCCCAGGAGCGCCAGCGAGGGCGCCAACGAGGGAGGAGGAAGAGGAGGGGGAGGAGGAGGAGGAGGAGGAGGAGGAGGAGGAGGAGGAGGAGGAGGAGGGAGAGGAGGAGGAAGAGGAGGAGGAGGAGGAGGAGGAGGAGGAGGAGCACCTGGTACCCGCTCGTGGGCGCCCAGTGGGCGCCGCGTGCGCTGGGCCTCCTCCTCCTTTTCCTCGTTGGCAGCCAACGCCACTGCCTCGGAGTGGCTGGCGCTTCCTGCGCGAGGCTCACGCAGGAGCCGAGGAGCCAAGCTCCTCAAAGTGAGGGAGCAGAGTCGTCAACGTCAGCAGTGACCTGACTTATCCTCCTCCTCCTCCTCCTCCTCCTCCTCCGCTTCCTCCTCCCTCCTCCGCTTCCCCCTCCCCCCTCCCTCCCCCCTCCCTCGGCTGGAATAGCGGAAAGGGGGCGGGGGGGGGGGGGAGCGAGGGGCCACAGTCGGGCAGCAAGGGGGCAGGCACGGTCGGCGGGCGGGGGGGGACAGGGGGCCATGGTCGGGCAGGGGGGGGGGGGGGCCCGTCGGTCGGAATAAAGGGAGGGGGGCCATGGGGGAAGAGGGGGGGGGCACGGTCGGTCGGAATAATGGGACAGGGGCGGGGGGGAGCCAACACCCACAATCCCAGCACCCCCAGCGCACACTGACACATGCCAGCACACATCCCAGCACGTCCGGGGGGGCCACGGCCAGCACGTGTTGCAGCACATCACAGCATGCATCCGAGCCCCCAGCGCACACCCCAGTGCTTCCGACACATCTCAGCACACCGATCCCAGCACACGGACCCCAGCACACCGAGGCAGTACACCGACACATCCCAACACACGCAGGCACGGTCGGTCGAAATGATGCAGTGCGAGATCACACCGGTTGGTATGATAATTGATGTTTTTTGTTGATCCCCTCCTCTGGTGCCCACTGTGTTTTTCAATTGAAGTGCCTCCCCCGGCGCCCGCAGTGCTTCTACAAGGGGAAATATTGAGCCTCAGAACGGGTTGCTAGCCCCCGGGGCTATAACAACAACGGCTCCCGCCTGACACCTCCTCACAATTTAATCGAACATCGCGCTCTCGCGCGGGACGTCCTCATAATTTATCGAGTGGCAACTTATCGAGATGCCGCGCCCCCAGCACTCAGGAACCACGCTATCGCTGTGGATTTCCCTGCAATTTACTTGCGAATCGCACTGTCGCTAAAACATTCCCAGCAATTCATGCCCGCTCGACCACGCCGTCTGGGCCCGCCCTCCCGGCCCGCCCGTCTGGTTTTGCCGCTTGTTTTTCTGCTCCTGATCCCCCTCTCCTGCTAATCCATGTCGTGCTCAATCCCTCTCTCCCCGTTGTCCCTTCCCTCCTCCCTTCCCCTGTTTCAGTGGCTGAGCCAACATCACGCCGCAAGTAAGAAAGATATACCCCCAATAGGGGGTTTGATCGAAGACGGAGAGGACGGGTATCAAGGGTTTGGGACATATATGTTGAGTGACACGCGAGCAAATAATAACGGACAATAGTAAACTGATTGTTGTTGTCTGTTGTCGTCGTCCCACCCACGACCCACCCCGCGACCCACCTGCGACTCGCCTCACGACCCACCCGCGACCCACCCCCACGACCCACCCGCGTCTCACCCGCGACCTAACCCGCGCCCGCCCCCTCACTCGTATCCGCAACTGCGGGGTGTTACACATATACTGCGATCCCAGGGGTGCATCGCATACGACCCACAACCTACATCGATCCTCAAACAATGCAGCGCCCGCTGGCTTCAAGCCGCGCAAGACATTGTCGATGTGGCCATGGCATATGCCCCCACCTGCCAACTCCGACCGTGCTCACGGCACGCCGCTGGGGCTGCCTCCCCGCGCGTCCCTGGACCGAGGGCTCTGCGGGAGGAGCCCAAGGAGCCGGTGCTGGCCCGTGAGTTTCCGTGCCCCCTCCTCCTCCTCCTCCTCCTCCTCCTCCTCCTCCCCGCGGGCCAGTGGTCCAACCTCTCGCTCGCGAAGGTGAGGCACGGGAGGGCGCGGGGGCCCCCGTGGCAGGGCCCCGACGGGACAGGCTTCCAGCGGGAGGGGGGGGGGGAGCGAGAGAGGGGCAGCGACGGGCGTGCGCGCCCCGAGCCGGCCCACGGGTCAGGCGTGGCGCACCCCGACCTGGCAGCCGACCGGGAACACTGCCGACCGCCATGGTCACACCCCACCATCCCTGTCAAAACAGAGCTACAAGCACGCACACATTCTGCCTCCGACTTCGGAGCATGCGCAGCCAACCCGACGCGGGTCCCCCCCCACCATCCCTACCAACGCAAACCCACTTTGTATCAAACTCTTGGGTCATCATCGTGAGGCCTGCGAGCACTTTGTATTGTTTGTTTTTTCCCTACCTAGGCTCTGCCTAGAAGGGTTCTTACTTCGTAGCTTAAAGGGCCGGGCAGTGGGGCCCGCCCCGGGCGGTTCCCCCGGCATCCGCCCCGCGGTTCCCCCTGAGCTTAGCTTCATCTTAGCTAAGGTTTATCTTAGCTCATCTTACCTTCACCTTAGCTTCGCCGAGCTTTAGCATAGCAGAGCACAGCATTGCATAGCAGAGCGCAGCACAGCATATCAGAACAAAGCCCAGCATAGCATAGCATAGCATAGCATAGCATAGCGCAGCATAGCATAGCATAGCATAACATAGCATAGCATAGCATAGCATAGCATAGCATAGCATAGCGCAGCATAGCGCAGCATAGCATAGCATAGCAACTAAGTCTGCTTTCCTAGGGGCTCCAACTTCTAGGTAGGGTCGCACTGGGGTAATTTTCCAGCGGTCGCATCGAAGACCCAACCGCCGCTGCGCTACAGGCCCGCGGGCCCCTTGCTGGCCAGGGCGACGAGGGGGTGGAAGCAGCCAGCGTGGCAACAGGTGCGAGGGAGGAGGGCACGATGAGCATGAGTCCCTGCAGGGAGCGTGGGCGCACAGCATACCTGGATGCACGCACGAACAAGTGTGATGCCCTGGAGAGGGAACGCGGCCTCTGGATGTGGCTTGTAGAACTCAGTCTGCACTGGGTTGTACTTTATCTGCGCGTGGTCTACCGCAGGCAGCGGCTCGATCGCCTTCAATGGAAGTATTGTGACAACAAGAGCCGCATGATACAGACTCAATATTGTACCCATCTGATCCTTTCATGCACCAGCCCAGCAACACTCGACTAACAACAAGTCAGGGTGATGAGAAGCAGGATTGGGGAGACCTTAGCTTCTCGCTCAATTTCGCATAAGCTCAAGACTCCAAGACTCTGACTGAGTCGCGCCTCGTTTCGACGGTCCAGCTGCTCGGTGTTGGCCTCTTCCACCTCTGGAGGTCGGCTACGAAGAACATTGCAAGGAGGACGGAAGAGGGTGAGCAACATGTAGACGTCAGATGGATCAGACGCCCATCCCCGACACTACTTGCTAATGGCTGTGCGGATGTCACTGTAGCTGGTTTCCTTGGCTCACCGTGCCTCTACGCTGCTACGCCATGTGCCAGCCAGACCTCGGACCACGAAAACAACCGACCCCAGGCATCGTGGGAGGACTACAATCAAAAACCCTAATAAGGACGCGCGGTAAGGACTCAAGACCCTTGGAAGCCGAAGTTGGGATTTTTGGGGCGGCGGACGACGAAAACCCCAAGGACGCAAGCGCAAGGAAGAGCAAGGATTCAAGGGTACCCTGAGCAAAGTCGCGCGTCCTTATTAGGGTTTTTGACTGTACACCATGTGCCAGCCAGACCTCGGACCACGAAAACAACCGACCCCAGGCATCGTGGGAGGACTCTTGTTTTCTCTCCGCGGGCAGGCCCCGCGCCTGCCCCCACACCTGCTGCGGCGAACTCTGGCGCGAAGGCAACGCGAAGCAGCTCGGCGAGGCATGGAGCACACCCGTGCGGGGTGCACCTCGACGCTGCTGCGGGCTCTCAAGCTTCCGCAAAGCCAGCGATCGTGGTGCTGGAGCGGGTTTTGCCTAACTCTTCGACGCTCAGGGTGCTGAATCTTCTGTGCTCCAGGTGCCGGTTTGACAGCATCGGTACTAAATCTTCGATGCTCGCATCAGCTAGCTGTCTCATTGTCAGCCTGTTTCTGTCTTTGAAGTACAGCAGTTGGCCGCTGCCCACTGCCACTAGATGGCGTACAAGCCACGGGCCTAGAAGGGGAATCTGTGCTGTACCATGTGGGCCAGCAATAATAATTGTCCAGGCTAGTGGCAGAATGACAAAGTAGCCGACTAGATAAATAGCGCAAACAACATAAGATAACACTTGATGCCAAGGGGCCAAGATATGAGATAGGCTGAATACTAACAAGAAGGTCCTGTTAGAATATCCAAGGGCGACGGCTGCGAACCAGCGCTTGTCGGGCTTCATTGAAAAAATGCATGCGACGATCAAAAGTATTTGCGCCTCGCCGAACCATCTCCAAGATGGCACGCATGCCCCTTCCCACTCAGAAAACATTGCTGCAATCCACCCTATGACGCCAGCCAACAACCAATCAAACTTGGAATCGCCTATGCCTTCCAGTGGCCTGTTGGCTAACATGGAGGCGTTCCGGAGGCTCTTGGTGGAAATCCTGGCAATCACCAGCACAGCTATCGCTTCGTCCACTTGCTGCTCCACGCCGGCCATGGACACTTCGTCGAGGATGCGCCCGCGATCTTCCGAGCTGGAACAAGATGCATCCCGCATACGTCCTTTGAACCCTTGGGTCAGCTGCCTGCTCTCCTCGCGCCTCTTCCTTCGAAGCGCGTCATCTAGTACACTCGCGAGAGTTATGACAGAGAAGATCAAAGGAAGCACCACAGCTCTGTATGTAACGTGCCCTTGCCAGAACGACTCGTACACACATGCGGCACACCAACAGGCCGCAGAAAGTGCACATAATACATTACATGTGATGACCATCCACTTCCTTGGCAGGCCAACAGAAACAAACCACCCGAAGAGGCACACTGGAAACGACATCGCTCTCTCAACCTCCAGCATCGGACTCTGAATTTGCAGACAGTGAAACATGTAAGCGAAAACCAGCATCATGACAATGAATATTGCCTCATAAGCCAAAAACATCAAAGCCAAATGGAACGGGCGTTGGATCGAAGCAGTTGCAGTGTAGATTTCCTTGTCAAGGCTGTACCCCAAGTATGCCTCATAGCAGCACCACATTCTCCGGTATATGCTGACCTCATGGTTGGGGATCACCAGCATACAGCGCGCAGAACTCAGAGCTTTCGCAAATGGCGAGGACGAGGGGGTAGCGATCAGGTCGGCAATGTTCAGGTTCAACGGGTTGGACAGGAAACAGCAATACGCTGCGCCTGCTCCCCGCGGCCACGAGTTCCATACCTTGTCGACGAACTCGTGCACGCCCTCTGCCCACGCGTGCGTGATGTAGAGGTCGCAGGGCACGCCGCCCGGATGCAGCATGAGTGCCCAGCTGACGCTCCCAGCCTTCAACGTGACAGCCTTGATAAACTGGTCCACGACCGTGTAGATGGAAGGGCCTATCGTCGTAGGGCACTTCAGATCGAATCGGTCGCTCCGCGTCGGTACAATTGCGCCTGCAAATATTGCATTGCGCACGACGCGTTGAAATTGAGCGAAGTCCTTTCGAAATAAGCACCATCTCTCGGGGGGAACCGTCCGGTGCACGGCTTCGCCATCCTGGACAGCAAGGCGCTCGATGACCGTGTCGTCTTCAACAAACACGTTGCGAAAACAATTCATGGTATAACCGACAGGTCTTCTGATATATGCACCTGTCGAACGCACCACCACCAACGGTCAAATCGCGCGTCGGCCAACACCGCTGAAACAGAAAGAAACCATCATGGCAAGAACTGCGGAAAATTTGGAGATCATTGCTTGAATCGAAATGCATTAGGAATGTTATGAGATCCCCGGCGGGCTTGTGGGCTGGACTCTTGGGATGTACTTGAAACGCTCCCAGGAATGCTCAGTGCGTGGCTCCCGTGAGAAAACCACTGGGGAAGCTCCAGGGGGCTCCTGGGGAAACTCTTGGAGGCTTCCCTAGCGAATTGCATGTCAGAGGTCTGGGATGCAAATATCGTACATGGCACATATGCTGGTCAGGTCCCTTGAGGACTCCTGGAAGAAACTCTTGGGGAGTCTCATGCGGACTCCCCCGCCCGGGGCGAGTCCATAATCGTAATTATGCGGCGGACTCGTGGGGTGGGCTCCCGTGGAAGCTCATGGGGAGGCTCATGGGGCGGCTCACTGGGCGGGCTCCTGGGGAGGATCTAGGGAGGCACCCAAACAAAACGCAATCCTGTACATACGACTGCTATTTCCTCTCGCGTCTTACATTGCTCTCCCACAGACTGCATGCACTTATGGATTATTGCTTTTCTTCCTTTACGAATTTGATAGGTGTCGCGCTCTTCGGCTGGTGCCAGGATGGTGGGCGCCCGTGGGCGCGTCCTGCCCCATGTTGCCTTCCCGCCGGAGCAGTCCACCTCTGCCCAGCCGCCGACGCATACACACACGGGACCGTCCGGGAAACGATCCTGGGCCCGCTCGGGCAGTGTAGGATGGCCGGGAGGGGGTCCCCAAACCGAAACATCGACTTTCACGTCGGTGGGAGCGCCCAGGGCCGAATTTATGTGTGTGTGGGGTCCTTATCATAATATCCGAAGAGGAATATACATACACATACATACATACATACATACATACGTACGTACGTACGTACGTACATACATACATACATACATACATACGTACGTACGTACGTACGTACGTACATACATACATACATACATATGTACATACATATATATATATATATATGTATATGTGTGTGTACATGTGTGTGCGTGTGTGTGTGTGTGTGTGTGTGTCGTGGTCTCGCCGGTGCCCGCCCGTGGGCGCCCCGCGGGCCCCTCGTGCTCTCCGGGTGGGCGTGCCGAGGCTGCCCGCCCGCTGCCTGCCAGGCGGTCGCCCCGTGGGCGCCTCGCGCGCCGGGGTTGCGCGCCGAGGTGCCCCGCGGGACGCCGCTGGGTCGGATCGTACAGTCGGGGCGTTGACCTAAGGAACCCTAAATAAGGAACGAGGCCCCTTTTGTAAGTGAAACTTCGACTCCCCATCGAAAACCGAAGGACAACCTGAGGCAAGCTGCGAAGTAATTAGGGAACAAGGAGCCCCTCCCCAACGAAAATGGTTCCTTTTTCAGCGCCCCGACTGTAAGTCGCGGAGGCTTCCGCTCGGCTTGGATTTGGATGCACTTCGGCGAATGGCCACGCGATAGGGCACAGGAGCGCCCAACAGCGCCCAACGCTGTTCAAGAGAGGCGGGACAGCGCCCAGACAGCGCCCCATGGCGCCATGTGGGGGGATATGTACTACGTCCGCCTGGTGCCCGCCCGTGGGCGCCTCCTGGGCGCCGCATGCGCTGAGCGGCACCATAGATTGCACTAGATGGCCGTTGCCGCATGGATTTTGCTCGTCACACAACTTGCCCCGCACATCCACCACCATGCCCTCTGGCGGTGTTGTGTTGTTGTTGTTGTTGTTGTTGTTGTTGTTGTTGTTGTTGTTGTTGTTGTTGTTGAACTCTCATTCTTGAAGAATAATTATTGTTGATCCCCCCCACCGGTGCACATTGATTTTTTTCGATTGAAGTGCCACCCCCGGGGCTCGCACCTTGTTTTTTCTCAAAGAAAGTCTTCCTGCTCAAACTGTGCCCCTGCCCCCCGGGCTACAACAACAACGGCTCCCGCCTGAGACTTCCTCAATTTTTACTCAGGAAAGGCGCTCCCGTCTGAGACTTCCTCGCAATGTAATCAAGACCCCCGCTCCCGCCTGAGACTTCCGTGCAATTTACGTGGGAACGGCGCTCCCGCCTGAGACTTCTTCGAATTTTACTCAGGACCCCCGCTCCTGCCTAACATTTCCGCGCAATTGACTCAGGAACGGCGCTCCCGCCTGAGACTTCCTCGCAATTTAGTGAGGACCCCCGCTCCCGCCTGAGACTTCCGTGCAATTTGCTCAGGAACGGCGCTCCCGCTTGAGACTTCCTCGCAACTTAGTCAGGGCCCCCGCTTCCGCCCGAGATTTCCTCACAATGTACTCAGGACTGCGCTCTCGCGTGCGACGTCCTCACAAATTATTCTGGAATTGCGTTTCGGCGCTCAGGAACCACGCACGCGCCAAGGACGCCTTCACAACGTGGTATCTTCCCTCTTCCTTCGTCCTTCCCCCTCCCCTTCCTCCCACTCTCCCTCGTTCTTCCCCTCCTCCTCTTGCAGGGCCCGCGCCAATTCCAATGGCGGGCAGAGAGATGTACGCCCCCGAAGGATTGTCCGCCCGTTCCGGTTTGCCCGTACGTCTAAGCCCGCCGGCCCCAGCAAAGAGAAATAATCCCCCCGAAAGGGTGTGATCGAAGACGAAGAGGGCGGGCATCGAGGGTGTAGGGTATACGTGTTGAATGACTCGCGGGCAAGTAAGAGCGTACAGCCTTAAAATGGTTGTTGTTGAACATTATTTATTCTGAAGAATAATTATTGTTGGGCCCCCTGGTGCGCGCCCCCCCTGCGCCGCCTAGGCCGCAGCTACATTTTCATCATTTTCGTGAGGAAGCCTCAGAAAAGAGGGTGTGTACAGGATCCGGTTGTTTTGTTGTAATCCGCTTTCCCTTGCAAAAAACAATAGAAAATGACATTTCTTGTTCTAATATAATCAAATTTCAAGAATCCCTTGCAAAAAATAAGGTAAAGTGGACATTCGCGCGCGCAAGACGAAATCCTTCCAAAACCTTAGTGTTCGCAGCGATTTTAACATAAAAACATCAAAAAACCAATGGTTTTTCAACAAAAAATTGTCAAAATCATCGGGACAGTCATCGGGACAACGATCGGGACAAGCACAACCATCAGGACAACCATCGGGACAATCATCGGGACAACGATCGGGACAACCACAACCATCAGGACAACCATCGGGACAACCATCGAGACAACCATCGGGACAACCATATCCTCTCTCTCTTGTGTATTCCCACATCCCTCAGGAATTTGCCCTAAAGATGTGATCAACTATCTTGTGAGTACGTATCATGTGTATCATGTGTATCATGTACCATATGCATCATATGCAACAGATGTTCTGTGGAAGGCTTAACAACTTCTGTGGGTTAACAAGGCTTAACAACTTCTGTGGGTGTACGAACGTAGGCTTAACAACTTCTGTGGGTGTGTACTCCACGCCAGTGTAGTAGCCACGGTCGTCCGCAGGCCACGAAGTGAAGTGTCCGAACGTCATAGGGCGGGAAGCTGGGTGTGGGTGGTGGCGAAGAGTCGTGTGGATATTTGGTAGAGCTTGCACTGCCCCCCCACAAAGTGGGGGTATTGGCTGGCGTCGCATGAAAACCCTGGCACTGGTGAGAACACTGAGCGTTCGGGTAAAGTGATTGTTGTTGTTGTTGTTATTGTTATTATTATTCCTCTTCCCCGGGCCAAGCAGCCAATGACAGGATTACGTGTTGTCAGGCTTTGACGTTACAGTTCAGGCATTCTGGCGTGCCGAAGCCCTGCCGGCGCACCGTGCCGTCACAAAGAATCCGTAACGCGTCCACTCGAACAAAGGCGACCCCGAACCGTTGCGGCACCCACCCATCACCCAATCTCGGGCCATCCAGGCCCCGCACGGGTGTTCTTCTTGGGGCCCTGGGACACGCAACTAAATGCACGCAAATCCTAGGACCCCCCTATATCTTCCTATATTTTCTGGGTTTTCGTCTTCCCCCCCGCTTCCCATATTTTCCCATACTTCCCTGGGATTCGGCGATCAATTGTGCCTGTGTGTTTTTTCCCCTCCTGAGTTCCCCCACGACGAGCGACGAGGCAAAGTCTCGCCTCAAAGTTTTGAGAAGCAGAGCCAGGGCTGCCCACGCGGGCACAAAGGTGAACGTGCCAAAAGACATAGCACATGCAAGCACACAGAAGCGCAACCTCGGGAGGGGACAGCAGGATCGGGGAGCAACCCGTGGGATCATCACAGGCGCAATCGGAAATGAGGATCCCATCCAACGGACACAGTGTTCGGGAAAGCGATAGCAGAATTTGTAGTGACGAAGATCATTATAGACCCGAGAAACATCAAGTCCATATTCGGCATGAGAACACCCGAAGGTACAGCCCCGAGGAGAAGAGTGATAGCGGGCACTCGTACACACGGCTCTCGTGCACAGACGAAGGACACCCATGGCGAGGAAAGGAGACGCAGCATGCCTCCTGGCACGTTGAGGCAGGCTAGAGTGCCAACTGCTACCCGTAAGGTCTTTGTAATCACCTAAGCCGCCCCCCCTCTAGTGTGGGTCTCTAGGCGTGTGAGATAGTTCCCCCCCCTAACCCCCCCCCTGGGACCCCAAACCGTAGATTCGACCCCCCCCCCCCCCGGGCCCACCACGAGCGCATCACGGGGCTCTTTTGGGCCCAAAAGGGGATCAAGACGGGCCAAGAAGGCCCCAAGACTCCTCCAAGACGGCTCACGAGAGCTCCGAGGCGCCAAACGAGCGCTCCCAGACGCCCAAGATGCCCCCAAGACGAGCCTAGAGGCCTCCAAGACGGCCCAAGAGGCCTCCAAGAGCAGTCCTGAGAAGGGCCGAAGCGCCGAAAATCGTCAAATTCCTATGGGAAAACGTACATTTTGATCATATACTACCTGTCGGCCTTCACGGCGTTGAAGACGGTCCCAGAGCACCCCAAGACCGCCCCGAGAGGCCCCCAAGAGGCGCCCAAGTCGGCCCAAGAGGGCGCCAAGACGGCCCAAGAGGCCCCCAAGACAGCCCAAGAGGGCCCCAAGACAGCCCCAAAAGGTGCCCAAGAGGGGGAGCCCGAACCGACAATTCGAGCCTTCCGCCCCAAGACGGCCCCAGAAGGCCCCAAGAGGCCCCAAGAGGCCCCCAAGACGCCCACAAGAGGCCCCAAGAGGCCCCCAAGAGGCTACAAAACGGCCTCAAAACGGCCCCCAAGAGGCTTCGAAACTGCCTCCAAGAGTCCCGCGAGAAGCCCCCCAAGAGATCCCAGGGCCTCGAGATGACCCCAAGCGGATTCCACATGGCCCCAAGAGAGGTCATTATGGACCCCTACACGACTCCCCAGCCCGATTCAAGCGAGCCGGCAAGACCGCCAAGATGAGGGGTCGGCGGATGTGGCGTAAGCCTATAGAATCACCTAAGCCGCCCCCCCTCTAGTCGCACTGCGTTGCACGCACCGGCCCCTCCGCCCGAGGCCAGAACCAGTTGCAAAATTCAGCGGCGCGAGTGCGACGATTTCGCGCTCCCGACGCCAAGATGTCTCCAAGACGGCCCATGAGGGCTCAAGGACAGCCCAAGAGGGCTCCAAGACGGCCTAAGAGGCGCCCAAGACCGCCCGAAAAGGCCCCTAAGACGGCCCCAAGAAGGGCCCGAGAGGGCCCCCAAGCGGCCCAAGGGGGACCCCAAGACGGTCCAAACGAAATCCAGGAGGGCTTTTTAACTAGTGAGGACGAGAATCTGTAACGTGTGACGGCCTTCCTCTTCCTCTTCCTCCAGCTCCTCCGCCTCCAGAGCCTCCTCCTCCCCCTCCTGCACATGATCCTCATCCTCCAGCTCCTCATCTTCATCCTCCTCCTCCTCATCCTCCTCTTTTTCCTCCTCCTCATCATCGTCGTCGCCACCATCACCACCATCATCATCATCATTATCATCACGCTCTCCCAAACCTGGGTACACGAGGTGTCACACGTGACTGCATCTCGCGCCCTCTCGAACAGTCGCCACCCATAATGCTGGGCTGGCACGATGGCGGGACTTGCCGCAGGCAGCCGGATATTACACCAAAGAGCTTGCACCACTTGGATACGTAGGGCCGCGAAGCCAACACCACATAACTTTCACAAAGTAACTTGCACCACATAGATTACACCACTCAGCGCAACGCAGATAGTCTCTTTTTGGAAGACAAGATAGGCTCCACCACCGTCAACCCCAGACGTATCGATACCATCTGGGACACTGCAAACTTCCATATGATTAAACTGCATGGTCCACTTTCCATCAACAGTCGGACCATTCAAGCCCAGTCGGAGATGACCTCTCCAATCCCTGCCACATCATGCAATGCGCGCGTGCCCGTATATTCAGCTAGCTGTTTGCGAGAATCCCTTGCAAGAAACATGCATGCGAGTTGCATGTCGAAATCACACCTACCACACCGGTTTCGCACGCATCTGAATTTCAAAGCCGTAAAACCTGCTGGGTTCCCCGCGACAGTCTGACAGTCTTACATCATGTATGCCCGCAGCTGCTGAAACAAAGGGACGAATGACATGATTTTAGCAATGTCGTCCAGAACCCGCATTCTCATCTCACCACGCAGTGCATCCGCGTTGATCTAGCTTGCGCCCAACGCACGAATCCGTATCAAAGATTATCATGCGGACCACACGCACGCGCCGAGCGCGCCTCAAACTCCGTCCAACACCTTTTGGTTCTTCGAACCTGGTCAAGCTGGAACTCATCAAGAACTGCTCGCTCGCTCCGCCTCTTATCTCTCCTCCAAGATTATTCCATGTATGCGCGCTCGCATTTCCTTACCAACACCGCCACCACCACCGTCGCATCACCGCCATTATTGTCATCACCAATTGCGACGATTGCCGCCACCATCTGTCAATCACTTTCAGCACCGACACGTGGAAATCATCATCGTCGCTGTCAACACCAATGGCGCCGTCATTGACCTTGCCGGCGCCATCGTTACAATCGCCACCACCATCATAATGCTCGCCGTTGTTGCCTCCGTCGTCGACGCCATCATGATACCGCGCCCCCCTCGAAATTGCCGGCCTGCACTGAAGCGTCCGCGCACCACCGCGGCTTTGGAGCCGCGCTGGCAAGTCCCCATCGGTAAGCGCTCGGTGCAAGACCACGGGGCCCTTTGATGAAACAACCGCTCTTGATGCTCGTTCCAAAAACGTTTTAGTTTCGTTCTGGGACGCTTCGTTCTGTAACCAATATGAACAGACATTGATACGAATGAGAAACCAAACTGTAACGAACAAAACACGACAGTGGAACGAAACCAAAACATTCCAGCGAGGATACATGATACAGACGAACATGGAACGACGGTGTAATGAACACACATAACAAAAAACGTATGCGTAGACACCTCGCAGGCCCCGGGACATTACACCCATTAAGCGCCATCGCAGCCGCATCAGTTGTGCCAAACCACCTGGTCGCCCTGCGCGCGAGCGTTCGCGCTTCAGTGCGGCCGCGCAGATACGATAGCAAATGCCGATCGCCTACCTCGATCGTGGCCGCATGTGTTTTGCCAAACAAGTTGCAGGCTGGAGGGTGGGACGGTTGGAAAACAGCGTATTGACGAATCATGACTTGTCCAAACAGATTTGCGCCACGCATCGTGCAGCACATTGATTAAGTTGCGACACGTAGCTTGCCCCACCTACCCCGCACCACTTTCTTGACCCACGTAGCTAACACCACATCGATTGCACCGCGCATGTCGCACCATATAAAGTAAGCTGGAACTGACAGCTCAGCAGCAACGTTAATTTGTCCAACCGCGTAGAATCCCCGCTCGACAGAATAATGAGACCGACCATGGCTTACTGGTACTCCCTTGGACACAATGAATTCTATAAGACTCTGCCTTACTCTCAATTTCCATCTGAACTCATACCATCCCAAGCAGGCCGGGTATCCACACACTTTTTGCGTCGGCGGCTGGGCAGAGGGCGACTGCTCCAGCGGAGCGGCAACAGGGGACGCGCTGTATGCCATCTAGGGCCACGGTGCACGGAAGGAGGAGAAGGAGCCCCGTCGCGACAGGAAGCCGGGCCACTCAGAGCCGTCGGCTGTGGCGGGGGGAACGCCGAGGGGGGAGCAGCGCCGGAACAGAGCTGCACTGCTACACGCACACACGCACACACACACACACGCACACCTCATCCCTGTCAAATCATACTATGTGCGCGCACTCTTCTATCTCATAAATCTACTCTATGCTTGCAGCGAACCATGGCACACAGTCCACACGCGCGCACACGTCGACACCACACCAGACACATCAGTGGTGGAAGCGCTGCAACGTAAATGCAAGAAAGCGCCCTTGTGCTTTTATATAAACCGTTGCATGGTGTCTGCTCGCGCACGTTTGCTGACATCTTTAGAGGCAACGTCGGATTCTAGCCATGTTTCGCCCAAGATCCGCATTCTCATCGCACCACGCGGTGCATCTACGTAGATTTAGCACGCGCCCAGTGACCCAGTGCATGAGCCCGTACCGAATAAAACAACTTTAGCGTTCGATGCGCTTCGATATGTAGCTATTCTACAACATCTGGAATGCCAAGCTCCCGTCAACAAATGGATGCCGGGTTTCTTGGACGTTTGCGCGCGCCCTTCCTCGGCATCACACTCGCCAGCGCCATCGCGTAACTGCCACCATCGCCATCGCCAATCGCCGCCATTGCCACAATTATCAGCACAAACACCTTCACCACCGACGCAGAGACATCATCATCGTCGTCGTTTCCAGCATCGGCGCCAACATCAGCCTTGCCGTCGTCATCGCCATCATCGCCACCATCGTTACTATGATCATCGTTGCCGCCGGTGTCGGCGTCATCGTCATGATACCGCGACCCCCTGAATCACTCACCAGCCCGCGCTCAAGCATCCGCGCACCAGCGCGGTCTTTGAGACGCGCTGGCGAGCCCCCATCGGTAAGCGCCATCGC